ATGTCATCCTGCTTTATATTATACATCCTGCATCATTTGGTTAAGGCTTATTGAGTGGAATATCCTATTGAGAGATAGAAATATCACTTCAAAATTAATTTCACATGTGAAACATTCACCATTCATTGATTGAAACTTTAGTGTCACAGTCATTTGAAATTTATAAAATCTTTTTAATGCAACAGCTTTTCAAAAAATTTAAACTTTTTAAGTTTATTATCTCTCTTTTTAGATTTTTGTTTACTAATGTTCACCCAACACAAGGCCTAAGGGCCACTCAAGGTAGAGAGTTACTGTGTGGATTTATATTAATGTAAGAAAGGAACAAGATAACAGGAAAGATAGACAGTACTGAAATTATTACGGAGTCGCTAACTGGGTGTCCTGCGATTGGATGAAAAACAACCAATCACAGGCTACCTTTTTAGATTTTCACTAAACCCCCACGAGAGCAGTTTTACATCGAAAATAAACATATTTTCCTTCACCTCGGTGTCAACCAATGGCTAGTACATTTGGATACTATAAATTTATACAATTGCATTCACTCCCTCATTCTCTCTCGTATGTGTCCACAAAAATAACCAACCCTAATTCTAACAGTGCAGGCAATGACTGCTGAATGTTTCCTGTGTGGAAATCGTTAATCTCACTATTTCTCTTATTCTAATTACAATAGATTTGTCATTTGAATTCAATAACAGGAGATAACTGATAACAGACATCCATCAAACATGGCACGTGGAACTAGAACAATCTACCTCAGTGAGCGAAATAAAGGGTTCAGTTTGATATTTCAACCACCTGAAGAAGGCCAGAGTGTACAACGGCTGAAACGTTGTAATAAATATGGTGACAAAGATGAGGACAATAGTCCGAATAATGTAAATAATGTACATAATACCTCATCTCAGAAATATAGACAGTTACCAAATGAAAAAACTATTAGGAAATCCTTATTATTTACCATTTTATAAAGTTTGAGTCAATTGATAATTTGCTGATGTTTTGCCAACCATTCCAATAAACATTAAATAAATATTTTAAATAAAGAATCTAATAAATAAATAAATAGTGTTTAATATTTTTTCTGTAAATTCTCAAGAACAAAAAAAGTGTTTAGATTTTATTACAATTCTAATCGTCGCTTTTTAAAACAATAAGCATTTCTGAGGAGTGAAGGTAGTTAAAATAATAGTGGTGTCAAGGGAAAAACTATCTTTTTGGCACACTGTATGAATTAATCTCTTCTCTCCCCAGCTATGGGTTAATTAGTACAACATGTGTCAGTAAATAATTATTATCTCCACCACCACACCAAAAAACATTATGATCTAAAAATATTATCGGGTTTTAAAATAGCCTGCAAGGGGTTGATAAGTGATAGTAAACAAATCGATCCAAAAAAATTGAACCAAATAGAAATAGAGCAAGCAATAACTGAGTAGGACTAAAGAAGAACTAGACGAGATATCCGCAAGCAAGGTCAGTGGAATAATCCCCCCACCTGTAGATTAAATAGTGCATTCAGTTTGAAATTTACAGGACGTTACCTGGACTGACAACCACTTGATGAACGCCAGGTGCTACAGAATTGCAAACAAAGAACTGTACCAAATAACAGAATCTACTTTACTTGAGGACTCTCAACAGCAATGAAAACTAAAATGGTTTGCATATGTCACTTGAAAAGAAAATGATGACATAATAAAGATGTTGATATTCCACATGACTTCAAACAAAAGGTTAGGAAGGAAACCCCCATCAGTTTTGGAAAGAGCAATGACAGCTACTGGACTTGAGAAATCTGTTTTGGGGGTGAGAAGAATACACAAACTGTACCTACTACAAAAATAAATTGGCCACCTTCCAGATTAATGGCGGGTGTGCGTGTGCTGTCATGGATAGGTGCTTGGAATTGGAAATTGGAGGGCCAAGTTCAAATTCCAGTTACGTTCATTACATTCACTTATGCACAAATACTCTTGGCAAAGGTATGAATCCATCTCCTCCAACCATGGGTTAAATAATAGAACTTGTATCATTGTTATTCTCAAAAAATTGTTAATGCAAAAAAAAATAAGATTTATTTTTACAATCTAAAAATATATTTCAGCTTTAAATAACCCACAAAGTGTTGATGAGCCATTAAAAATTAAATCAATGAATCAGTCCAGGTAAATGCTTGCAGATTCAAGTATAAACCCAACTGATATTTACCTATACACAGAAATGGAGAAAAAGAGAAGAGAGTTTCTTTTAGAAAGTTTGGTTTCGTTTGGTTTATTTTGTTTTACGGCATATCAACCTCAATGGGTTATTTAATGCCAACAAAATTTTTTATTGCTGGTAATATTTTGTTTTGTCAAAAATCTGTTTCTGGTAATATATTTCCTTCAAAATTGTATTTCTGGTAATAATTTTTTCAAAAATGTATTGCTGGTAATAGTTAACTATTTGCCCATAGCTGGGACCCTAACAGGTGCTACCGCCCTGGATGAGGGTGGATCTGGGAACACCAGCAATTAAGAGGTGGTTCCACGCTCCTCAAAACCTCCTGATCAGAGGCCTTGCTGCTGAACATAGTTTAATGTCTTACCCAGAATGCAGATGTAGTTTAACGTCCTACCCAGGATGATTCTTTTAGAAAGCATAGGATTTTAAAGGCTACCACTACTACATATTTTCTCGACAACCAATCATTTGTTTGAACATGTTTTTTTAGATTAATTACTCCTTTCCCCTTTTGATGCTTCTCCCATTCAGTTGCAAGTTGTTACTTACAACAACTTAACAATGTGTGTAAAGATGGGGTGAAGCTGGTTTCTGTGCACAAGAAGGAAAATTGAGTATCATTCTCTCTCTCTCTCTCTCTCTCTCTCACACACATCGTGCTGATTGCATTGATCCCCTTGACTATTCCTTTCCAATCTTAACAAAGAGGTATTTTACCTGGCATCTCTTGCGGTTTGCATCCTGCTTCTTTACATAATTGCTGGATGTACATTTTGAAAGGGTGACCTACATTGGTGTGTCCATGTTTTAGTGCGTTCAAAGAAGCACATCACTGATCAGATCATCCATATTTCTCCTGGAATGCCTAATAAGCGGCATTTTTTCTTAGATTACTTGTGAAAAGGGAACTTGGTGGCTGTTTTTTTGGGATGCTGCCTTCACGATAGATATAGATCAACACCCATGTGCAAATTATTGAAACAAAACGAATAATTATGTTATTTTTTACTTTCTTTCATATTTTTCCAATGAAACATGACCCAGTGCATATGTTAGTACTTCATATGTCCATTCTACAAAGCCTTTCCTTGTAGATTAACCACAGATTCTTGATCGGATTTAAAACCGGATCAGTCTATAGTACTTTGATTTGCTCACTGGTAAGGCTTGGCAGTGTGTTTGTGCAGTATTACAATTTTTGTACGCTTCCTTGGGGTAACGTCCATAGCAGACAATGGCTGTTGGACCATCAATAGTGTCTAGGCATCATAGAAATCTGATGCAATCACAGATGACGTAATATTTATCAAGGCCAAACAAATTTCATCATACACCCTGAAAGTAGATTCATGTTACTGCACACCACCGCAAATGACCTAATTGGAGAAAATAGAAATCAATTACACCCTGTCACTCTAGTGGGTTTAAAACTGACCGTATGTTGAAAGAAAGAAAACTAACGCAGTTGTTTCAATTAATTTGCATAAGCATATATGTACTATCTAATTTCTTTTCAGATTCTTTTTTAATCATTTCACCCCAAGCAAGCCACTAAGACCCAAGGGGGTTGCTAAGTGTGAACAAATATAATAAAAAGAAAAACATTATTAAGGCGAGAGAAGTCAATAAAAGAACAGGCATTAAGATAGAAGATAACAATTGACATTGTATTTAAATTTTTCAAGGTCAGAGTTGACTTGAAAGTAAGAGGCTAGAAGAGAGTTCCACAAGAAAAAATCTCTAGAGAAGAAATTGTTTCCATAGAACTTACGGTTACATCCACTAATTTCGAACATAAAATAATGTGACCTACCTGTCAATCTAGTACTGTGCTTAAATTTGTAAAATTGAGGTACCAAAGAGAAAAGCTCATCAAGACAATTATCCTGAAAATATTAATTGAAAAGGTTCAAGGAAACTATGTTATGGTGGTGTGAAAGTGACTGAAGCCGAGATGCCAGGTCAGGAGCAATAACATTGCACATTCTTTGGATTATATCAATATCTAACAGAAACATTAGACCAGATGTGATAGCGATATTCTAAGCATGGGTGAATGGTAGACTTAGTAAGTTTGTACATCTGTGGGATTATCACACGTCTTTTTTTAAAAATCATTTCACCCCAAGCAAGGCAATAAAACCACTAAGATGCATGAGTATGAAAGAATATGAGAAAAAGAAAAACATTATGAAAGAGAGAGAACAATAAAAGAACTGGAATTAAGGAGACAGAAGATAATGGCTGACATTGGATACAATTTTTTGAAGATCAAAGTTGGCTGGAAAGCAAGAAGCCAGAGAAGAGCTCCTCAAGCAGGAATTGCATATAAAATCAAAATGTTTATAACATTTATAAAATTTAGTATAGCATAAATTCCAATGGGGTTTGGAAGATTGTGTTGTGTCAATTTCCCAAGTAAAAAAAAGCTTGTTTAACTAGAAAATCAGTAATTGAAAATCTTTCTTTGTATTTAGGCCCCAAACTGATGTGTAGCAATGGGGTTAAATATTCTATTCACAAGGCAGAACTTTATATTTAGTCTATTTTAGTGGGTAGCCAATGAGGACTGAAATTAGTATACAAGTAAATTATTCTATAAGATAAGCTTGCTAACCAATGTACAATATACTGCCATATCACATTGAAACACTGGTCCTTGCATGGTTGCCGAAGTTAAGCACTGTTGAGTCTGGTCAGTATCTGGATGGGTGACTACATGGGAGTACCAGGCGCTGTAAGCTTGAATATTCAGGTGGTACGTCTTGCGGCCACATCACATTGAAACACCTATTCCCATACAATCACTGAAGTTAAATAATGTCGAGCCTGGTCTATACTGAGATGGGTGGCTGCTTGGGAATAGTTGGCTTGGATGTGTGGGTGGTATAATGGATAATGCCTTGGTGAGCCAAGGTTCAATTCTTGTTTGGTTTGTTATATGTGCAAATACCCTTGGGAAGGGTATGAATTTATCTCTTCTCTCTGCCACTATGCACAGAAAATACCAAGGTCACAAAATGAGGGAAATATTTATATATTGATTGTAATATAGAATTGGTCCTCCACTTTATATCCACATTATAATTCCTTGTTTATCAAATTCTGATTAGGTATGAATCCATCTCTTTCCCCACCAGGTATGGGTTAATTAGTAAAACTTGTATCACTAAATCATAATTATCTCAAAAAACAAAAATTCTTACAATCTAAAAATATTTTCTAGCTTTAAATAATCTACAAAGGGTTGATAAGCCATAAAAAATGAATGGATCAATCGATCATTGTACAATGGTAAAGGCTTTAACTGTTGCTGCTTAAGAAAAACACAAAATCCAGATTCATTTTTTAAATTTTATTTTTAGTTACAGATAAAAAAATATGTTTCTGCATTTGTTGAAATGGTGTTGTTGCTTTATGTTTCATGCTCTTGTTGAAATGGTGTTTTTGTTTCATGCCTCATGATTCATGTACTTGTTGAAATAGTTTTGTTGTTTCATGCCTCATGTTTCATGTACTTGTTGAAATAGTTTTGTAGTTTCATGCCTCATGTTTCATGTTCTTTTTGAAATTTTGTTGTTGCTTCATGTCTCATGTTTCATGTTCTTGTTGAAATGGTGTTGTTTTTTCATGTCTCATGTTTCATGTTCTTGTTGAAATGGTGTTGTTTTTTCATGTCTCATGGTCTTGTTGAAATGGTATTGTTGCTTCATGTTTTGAATATGCTTTCTGGTAATGCAAGGAGATTGCTGGCAAAAGTTGAGGCTGTCATGACTTCGGGCAATTTACAGTCAATAAAAGTGGCAAGATGGCTGAAGTCTTTAATTTGGCCACCATCTTTGCAATTACCAAGCTCATTGCTGCAGTCAAGGTCAAGCAGACAAAGATCCATCAGGATTTCATCCAGTTCCTCATTTGTGATGTGTTCTCCTGACAAAGTGGGAAGTTTGAAAGAATAAAAGAAGATAAAAAAAAAGCCACATGTAACAAATGGACATTATCTACAAAGTTAACATTTCAACTGCTGTGGATGTACTCATCTACCTTTATGAAACTTAAACTGCTGCTGATTTATATATATATATATATATATATATATATATATATATATATATGTTTTCAAGACATAAAGCTTTATAAAACTTACATTCATTGCTGTTGACATATATATATATATATATATATATACTTTCAAGGCACACTTATACATCTTTATGAAATTTACATTGACTACAGTCAATGTATATATATATGTATACATACATACATATACAATATATATATTTATATATCTCAGAAATATTTTTGAAAAATCAGTGAGTGGAAAAAAAATTAAATTTAAATTTAAAATTTCAGCATCTCTCATTCATGAACACGTTCATCATTTTAGTCTGATGAAGTCTTAAAGGAGGAAACACTTTTTTTACAAATTGTCATAGATTTTCTTATATATATATATATATATATATATATATATATATATATGTAGTGCTTGGATAAAAAGAACATTCGGACAGTTTTATATAATTTATTATCCGAAAAGAAAAAATTATTAGATTGCATGAGAAATTGTATAAAAAAAATAAATAAAAGCACACTGTCTGTCGTTTTCAATGAAATGTGCATGAAAGAAGGATTGCTGCCTAAATGCACAAATTTATATATATATATATATATATATATATATATATATATATATTCAAGATGTACTTATACATCTATATGGAACCTATACTGCATGCTGTTGACATGGATATAGATTTTTTAAGATATACTTCTCCATTTTTATGAAACCTACACCACTTGCTGTTGACATATATATATATATATATATATATATATATATATATATATATATATGAAAGAAAAATATACTGAAAAAAAAACAAAAATCCTAATATGCGATTATGCTGTTTTAATGTTTAATGTCAACATAATCGCATATTAGGATTTTTGTTTGTTTTTTCAGTATATTTTTCTTTATACTGTCGGATCTATATCCATATATTTGCTTATATATATATATATATATATATATATATATATATATATATACACACACATTTCAAGGTGTACTTCTACATCTTTATGAAACCTAAACTGGTAGCTGTTGACATAGATATACATTTTTAAGGTATACTTATACATCTTTATGAAACATACAATGCTTGCTGTTGATATATGTATATCTTTTGAAGCCACTGTGAAATGTTGGTACCTAGCATGTGTCTCATAAACTAGTGCTTAGTGCTATTTCGAAACAAGCACAGACATATAATAGTATGCAACACTAAATGTTTTCTGCCATATTTACATTATACTGTGCATCGTTTACCTTAGTCGGAACAGCAGACCATCCTTTTTTTCCTTTTTTGTTTGTTTAACGGCATATCAACTCCTTATGGGCCATTTAATGCTGAAATTTTATTTTCTTGTGAGCTCAGTTACTGCTGAAAATCATTTGTTTTTCTAATAATGTATTTTTATATTTTCATGTATTGAGCCCAGTTTGAGTGTTCACTATTTGCCCATAACTGGGACCCTAACAGGTGCTACCACCCTGGGTCAGTGTGAACCGGAGAACAACAGCAATTAAGAGGTGGTTCAATGCTTTTCAATACCGCCTGATCTTGCTGCCAGATATAGTTTTTCATATCTAAGATGAAGCAGCCGGTTATTCAATTGTAACTAAAATGGTGGCACACAAGAAAAATTGCCATTGGCGTCATTATAGTTATTTAGTTTTTTTTCCTGCTGATGCAATGTTGCAAGCCTGTTGCTATTTCTGAGGCTAATGTTCAGATGAGTGCTATGTTCTTTAATTCCACCAATTCAGACCTTTACAGCTCAGACACACACAATGCCTCGTCCCCATAGTTGAATCACCCTCATTTCCTATTTATTCCAAATGTAAGAAGAAATTGTACAATTGTAATCTCTTCAAGTCAAGGGTCAATTATTATCTATACTCCTTATCCTCATCATCCCACTTCCGCTTTGATTCATATCATGCACCTTGAGTGCCTCTCGAGCCTTGTTTTGGGTGAACTTTAGTATAAAAAAATTTTCAGTAGATGGCAATTTTATTTTCCCCTAGTACTGCCATGCAACAATGCTAAAACAATGCAACAGTGAAAGCATAATCATGCATAAACAGTAGTGAGGTACCCAATGAGGATTGAAGGTAATACACTAGCAACTTGGTTTGCTAGAGGACATTTTTAACCTTTACAGTTATTTATAAATTTAGTTTTGTCTGGCACAAGGTCACAGTAGTGGGGTAGCCAATGAGGACTGAAATAACTAGAGTAGTAATTTTATTACAGGTGCTCATCTTAGTCTGATGCAAAAACTCAGCAACTGAGCACTTAAAATTTAAAAGTGCAACATTCTTGAAGAAAATGAAAAAAAAATGTATTTAAAGATTAAAGGTGATCCTGCATAATTTTCATATAATCTGGTTCTGTATGCAAGCATCAATCCCCAAAGAGGATATATAAGTGTGCTGAGACCTAGGAATTAATCGTAACATGTTACCTTGAGACTGAATTAGGCTGAGCATGTCATTGGTCGGAAGGCAACTTTCTCCCTCTGTTTCTCCCTCTGACATACCCAACACGTCAAACGCCCATCTCAGCTTTTCACCAGTCAGATTACGGTAAGGACGATGGTTGATGTACACTGATGGAAAAATGTTTAAAGAAAAAAAAAAAGAAACATCAATGTTTGGCAAACAAAGTGTATGAAAATTCCTATCAAATGCAAACTGTATATTCCAAAGAGAAATTCTTTTAGATTCAAACCATTTCCAAAGAGGAATTCTTCATTTATCATAGCAGCAATTTATGTCAGGTCACTCTAGGAGTGCGACTGTATCATGTAACGCAATATTATTTACTACATGGTCAGGTCATTCGGACTAAAACAATTTCCCCAAATAGGCTTTCCTGGTGAGGAGGGTGGTTAGACACCCAACAAAATGAAAAAACAAAATCTTTCAGAGGGTGGATGAACCTTCTTGTATGGTCAATGGTCACCTAGCACGGTGGGGTAGACTGAGCTTCATAGCTACAGATGTAGCCACTGTGAAGTGGATATGTCGTTGCTGGAAGGAGAGCTTCCTAGATTGAAGGCAATACCCTAATGGAATCAACTGCCACATGTCCATGACCAAGGTGAGCCTTCAAGTTGAGAGCATTACCTGAGGTTTGACCTGAAAAGGGATGGGATCTGCTAGGTGTGCTTAGCCAAGATATGCTACATGTGGATCAACTGAAATATATAGAAGGAACTGGTCAAGTGCCCAGCTGTGCAGCGATCCTACAACACTCGATCACAGCACTGATGATGATGATAATAATGATGATGATGATTGCATTTCTAAAAAAGACAAATTGTTATAATTTTACTTTCCAGAATTTAATCTGACATATTTATAAGTCTACCATTCATTCTTGCTTTGAATATTGCTGCCACATTTGGTCTGCTGCTCCTGCGATATATTTAGAGATTCTTGATAAAATACAAAGAAGAATCTGGAATGTTATTGATCCTAACCTGGCATCTCAGCTTCAGTTTGTTTCCAACTGCCATAATGTAGCTTCCTTATGCCTTTTCTATGAATATTTTAATGGTAATTGTTCTGAGGAACTCCACTTTATAGGAGCTAGATTTTATGAATTTAAACACAGTACTAGATTGATGGTAAGGTCTCATCATTTTACATTTAGAATTGACTAGATGTAACTGTAAGTTAACAGTTTCTTTTCTTACACTTCTTGCTTGTGGACCTCACTTCCAGCTCCATGCTTTCCAGTCAACTTTGATCTTCAAAAATTTAAAACCAATGTCAATCACCTTCTTAATTCTTGTTCTTTTATTATTCTCTCTCTTTAATAGTAGTTTTTTTTTCTATTACTTTCTAACACTCAATAAGTCCTTGCACATTAGTGGCTTTATTACCTTTCTTGGGGTGAAATGATTAAAAGAAATAAAATCAGAAAATAAAAGGATTTGTAAGCAAAACAGTTTTTCCTAAAAATGTTTTGGATTGAACTTCAAACTGAATTTACAAAATTCCAGTATGTTTCTATGGTAAAACTTTTCTTATCAATGTGTTTCTATAATAAAATTCCTTGATCAATGCATTTCTTTAGCAAAAACCATATATGGATTAACATAAAAATTCTTTCAACCATGTATTATCTTGACCAATGTATTTCAGGTTAAAATTGATTGATTTCTTTGTTTGACAGCATGTCAACTACTTATGGGTCATTTAATGCTGAAATTTAATTTTCTTTAGTGCTTTGAAATAATAAAAATATGGTATATATTATTCTGCTTTCACAATTGAGTACATGGTAGATGATACTCAGCATTTGTGTATATATATGTTTGTGTAGACATAATTACTAGTGGTGGTGGTATGTGTGTTTTATGTTGTAATTTTGTTGAAGTTATATTTTGGAATAGAGTTTGATTTCTTTAAGAAATTGTAGAATATTATTTGGATTAATGTCATCAAAGAGTTCTTTCATGTTGGTTGATTTTGTTTGGCGGTATAAACCTCAATAGGTTATTTAATGCCAAAATCGAAAGATTTTGTATGTAATTTTATGCTTTCAACTACAGATATTTTGTACATAATTTTATGCTTTCATGTTAAAGGTATGTTCTTTTAGACATATAAGTTGTAGATTGTAAAATGTATAGTCGGTAATTATAAAAATGTCTTTTTTTAGTGTTGCATTGATTGTCATTTTGTGCAAAAAATGTACTGTTGCTCATCTTATAAAAATGCATTGTTGATATTTGTCTGGGGTTTTAGAATTTGCCCAGAGCTGGGACCCTAACCAGTGGACCTGGGAATGAAAACAATTAAGAGATGGTTCCACGCTCCTCAAAAACTCTAATCTTCCAATCAAAGACATTGCTGCTGGATGTAGTTTATTGTCATACCCAGGACGAAAAAAATTGATTCAAATACAATTTCAACTCTTTGAACTTACATTTGAGGAAATCTGGAAGGTCGATTTCTTCCTTGAACTCTCCTTTGTCTACGTATTCACTGTACTTGACTTCATTCACCATATCAGCTAACTGAAAGAGATAGCAAATGAGATATTTTCTGGGGAGTCAGTACTTTCAAGTGACACGCACTCCCTTATCTCTGTACGTAAAATATTTTCATGAAAGGAATGCCGTTATCTGACCCAAATTCACATAGAAATAAAGACGAAGAAAGAAAGAGACAATGCATGAAGAATGGTGGTGAGAGTAACCATTTCGACACAGAAAACATTTCACATTCATTAACTGAACAATGAGTGTTACTTTCAGTTGAAATTGATAAAATCTTTTACTTAAAACAGGTTTTCAGGAAAATAAGTTTATCAAGTCCACTTATTGCCCTTTACAGTATTTATGTGTAGTTTCCTTCCTGGAAAAAGGCTTTGAGTGAGTGATAATTTCGGCAAAGATCATCCTTCTTTGAACGTTGTGGACTGGTGCTACAGAATCATAAACAAAAAATTGTACCAAATAACAGGAACCATACACATCTTGAGGAATTTTAATAGCAACAAAACCTAAAATAGCACATGTAAGTGGAAGAGAAAATAATGACATAATCAAGATATTAACATTCAACACGATTTCAAACAAAAGGTTAGGAAGGAAACCACATCAATACCGAAAAAAGTGATAAACGCTACTGGACTTCAGAAACCTATTTTCATAAAAAAACATTTTAAGAGAAAGATTTTATAATTTTCAACCCAAAACAGTACTGACTGCTCAGTCAATGAACACCAAATGTTTCCTTATAGGGAAATGGCTAATATTAGCATTATCATTCCTAGCGTATTGTTTAAGGTAGTGTGGAAAGTCAACATCTGCAGGGAGACAAAAGAAAAAAAATTGTATTTCATTAAAGCATTTGTAGTTTAAGCTTAGCAAACTGTCAGACGAATATCGCAAAGATCTCTGCTCCCCAAACGTAATACCAGTCAGTGCTTTTCTGTTGTGATGGACTAGAATTCTTGTCCTGTCAACAACAGTGACTAATTGAACCAACAATTTTTCTCTCCCAAACAATATTACAAGCTTACTGCCACGTCACGTTGAAACAGAAATTTTTGTACGATCACTGAAGTTAAGCAATGCGAAGCCTGGTCAGTATGGGTGACCGCTTGTGAATACCAGATTTTGTAGACTTGGATGTGCAAGTGGTGAAATAAATAATAGCTTGGAATTGTTAATCGGAGAGCTGAGTCCTATTTCCACTTAGGTTCGTTAAATTCCCTTACACGCAATTACCCTTGGGAAAGATATGAATCCAACTCTTCTTCCCTCTAGCTATGGGTTAATTAGTAAGACTTGTCTCACTAAACTATTATTATCTCCAAAAATAAAATAAAATTGTGTACAAAATATTTACGTTTTGGCATTGAATAATCCATAAGGGCTGATATTTCGCTAAACAAAACCAACCAAACTAATCTCACAACTCATGAATCCTATAGACATTTTTTTTTTCCAATTTAATCTCAATGCGTATTTTACAACGCTTTTCCTTGGTGAATCTTCACCTTTTTTATAATAAATTATTTGCATACGTGGTTGGCGCATGCATCTTTTGTCGTGAAACAACATTCTTCTTGACAAGCATTATTTACTTGCATGCATACAAAATCTGTGATTGATTTGTTGGGATCCATCTACCCAGGTTTTTGTTGCTATCTGAGTGTCAGGATTCCAAACATTTAACAACAACATATCTTTTAAATGAAACGTGAAAAAGTTTATTTGCTAAAGGAAAAGTAGAAGCAGAAGATCAGTTGAAATAAAATTTATAGATTCTTTTCCGAAATATACAATGGCAATAAAATATTCAATTTTTTTTTTGAAGTGAAGTTTTTTATAAACTAATTAAGTGTTCTTAGTGCAATACGAAATGTGTGAACAGACTTATTTTATGATGGTCATCCTAATGTGTTTGTAAGTTTGTAGGCTTAGTAGGCAGCTGGTTGATCCCTTCTATTGTGTGTGTGAGAGTGAGAATGAAATAAAGTTTGCAGAATTCATGAGTTGTTGCATTAGTGGGGAGAGAAAAATATTTGTTCTAGAGAAATGTTGTGTTTGTCACTGTTTTTGACAGAGCAAGAATTCAGATCCATTGGTTGGTGAAACAGGAAAGCACTGACTGACTCAACATTCAAGCGTTGGAAAACTCTGCAGACATTTTATTATACTTCAACTACAAAATTAGAGTTGACATATTTAAAGGTAATATAAAGAGGAGCCTTGCTAGGCCAACAAGCAAGGCTCAATTCAAACTGTCTCAGGTGAATCAATAAAATCTCTCAAATCTTTTACATGCTGAGCAAGCAAAATAAATTCTAATGAAAAGGTTGTGAAAATCTGCATCACTAAACTTGTAATGCTTTGAATAAAATGGAGGTAATCTGGAAATTTGATCCAGACGGAAATTCTTTTGAAACTTTGCCTTGTACTAGTTTGGTACCCATCACTTCCCTGATAGTGAAGTGATCAAATTTCAAACCTAAATTGTTTGTCCACTTCATTTATTAGAAAATAGATTCAGTTTAAATACAGAAGGAATCATAGAAAATTACTTCAAAGGACCGCATAAAATTATAATCATTAGACGGGGTGCGATGGATAAATTGTCATCTAAATGACACAATAATGAAAATAACACTGACATCTGATTTTAACAGATACATTACATACAAAATTACATAAAAATATCTTGAAATACTAAAGAGTAAATTTATTCAATAAATAATAAATTAACTGACAGGCAATATCCCTGAAGAATGGAATGTGAAATGAGAACACTCTATCTGAATGGATTGAATAAAGTGTTTAGTTTAAAATTTCAAGAAGGTTAACAAGTACAGAGACAAACACCTGAAAAAAAAGCCAGAAGGTAAAACAGCTGAAACATTGTGATTGTGGATACTAGTCCAAATATAATCATTTTTAAATGGTCAAAAGTACCACATTAATCTGTACAAACAATTGTGCACAAGTCTAAACACCATGGAACCAGTGCCGAGGAAGGAGGCATATTCTATGATTTGGAGGGCAATGTGCTGTGGCATCGGGTACAAGTGCCAAAGAACTGTAAAGCATCTTGTGAAGAGGAGGAAGGAAACAGTTACAAATATCTCACCTATGTATATTTACAAGATTTATTATTTACCATTTTATAAAGATTTATATCCATGTTAAAATAGTCTGATTGATTTGATTTTTATGGCTTATCAACTTTTTACAGGTTATTTAAAGCCTGAAAATATTTTTAGATTGTTAGAATCTTTTTGTGGGGTGATAATAAAGATCTGATTTCCAATTCCAAACTTACAGCACCTGGTATTCTCACCTAGGGACTGACCAAATTAAGCATTGCTTAACTTCGATGATCGTATGAGAACCAATGTTTCAATGTGATACGGCCATAAGCCAATGGTAAAACAGGTATTATTTCAACATAAACTGAAAGAGTTGATTTTTTTGTGTCACATTCATTAAAACATAGGAGGTTCCCTGGCAGTTGTGAATTCAACCCCTAAGGTTTCCGTCCAAAATTCTGAGCAGTTTATCAAGTACAACAGATATATCTGAAAGAGGAGCAAAAAAGACAATGGACCGAAACATTAGGAGTAAAACAAATGACACGAGCATGTCGATCCAAATAGCAACGGGCATATATTGTAAGGAAAAAAAAAAAAATAATTTTAAAAGTAAACTTGAAAAATGTCCATATAAATTTACAACCATTCTTGATAAGTGTTTCACTTCTTTCTTTACCTCTTGTTCTGAGGGATAAAAACCAAGGGCTCGCATCAAGAAAGGAATTTCTTTGACTGGAATGACGGAAGTTACCTCCCTGGTGGCCATGGAGTTAATGTTTGAACTGCAACAAAAGATCAACAGATAAAAAAATATCCAAGGCAACAAAGAAATATGAATCTAACAGACAAAATTCTGGTGTTAATCTGGCATTATGTTGTCTTGTTCAATAATCAGAATAGTGAAGAATTTAGCGGTGCCAATTTAAAAGCATGGCAAAGGAACATTCAAGATTACCAAAATGGCAATAGGAGGTTGCCTTTAATAAAAGCAAACAATACACAATATATCTCAGTGATGAAAAGTCTATTTTATTCTTTTGCACTATTACCCTTGGAAAAGGCATGATTTTGTCTTCCTCCAGCCATGGGTTAAATAATAAAAGAGACTAAACTCTCTTGTTTTAGATGTCAGTGGATTTAGGAAAAGAAAAACTAAAACTTAAAAAAACCCCACCCCCATTACTTTGTGGGTTCCTTAAGTCGACACATCAAATATTTAACAATGTAATACAGCAAATACAAGTAATTATGTTGCAAATTATGGCATACAAGTCGACCTCATGATTTTTAGCTCAAAATTCTGAGTTAGGCTTATACTTATCATGTAGAGGTTGACCTCCAAACATATGATAGGTTACCATTGACCCAAAACTGGTAAATGAAGCTAGGCTACAGCATACACTAACCTGTGCCAAAACTTCATAAGGTCACACTACTGAAAGAAAATGAAAGAAAGAAAGAAAAAAGGCAAGATAGAAGTGGAGAGAGAGAATCAGATTAAGTTGATAAGAATAGATACTACACTTTGATCTTAGCTAAAAATTTAAATTGGAAAACTGTGACATGTTCATGGGTCTTTCTAGTAAAATGTTAATACCGTAGATTACATATCACACCAGGTAGTTTTTTTGATAGTACTGCTATGTATTGTATGTTATTGTAAAACTCAGTATCACTCATCCACTATTTACATCAGTGATGTAAACAAACAATCAATGACACCACTTCCTGCAAAGAACTGTAAAATTGTGGGGTCCGTTACATTATCAACACGCATACCATACTGAGTTATCTGAATGGCTGCCTGACTTAAATGGCGCTTCGGTCAGTGTTTACACTTAGTGTGTCAGCTGATGGGTGCAATGTGTGTTGTAGCATTGATAGAATATTGAATTTGTGTAATTTATGTTAATTTCTGTGATAATATGCCAAATATGTTCACCAAAAACAAGTTTTAGTTGGAGATATTTGCCGCAGCCTGCTCGAGTTACAGTAAGTCGTGTACAGTAATTGTTAGGAGTGCTGTCCAACTTGTTTGGTAAAGGTTTGAATCTTATAGCTGCCATATAAGTCAACAGTTAGTTCTGGAAATAGTTTTTTTAGGCTTGAAAACTCGACCTGTACACTGCAATTTACAGTGAAAGTTTTTTTTCTAAAAACTATTTACTTTGTGTTTTAACTTATCTTTCAAATAATGCATTCATCATTAAGCCATATGGCAGGTGTAAATAAAGTTTTCTGCATTTTCTTGTTTCTTACCTTCGAAGTTGGCAGAAGTAGAAATATTCTTTCAGTTCTTCAAAGAATGGTCCTTCTCGCCCTCCATCTATAAGTTGGTAAAAAGGAATCAGATCTTCTCCCCCCAGATGCAGCTGCGCTTCCAATGCACTGGCAAGAGACAGAAATTACAAGTGAATGTGTTTGCAGGCACAAAAAGCCTCATTTTTTCCTGCATCTATGATTTGGGATTTCGTCAACCAGATTAAAATGTCCAAAGTACTTCCCAGGTTAAATAAACACAAAATATGCTAAACATCTCACAAAACCATATAACAAAATACGATTTAGCTTATTAAACTGGGAATGGACGAATGACTCTAGAGTTTAGTGGAAATTAAATTCTTTGACAAAAAATAGACATTATATTAGGTTACAATGGAACAAATGAGAATCGCTTATGTGAGCATGTAAAAAGCTGCAGCAAGGCCCTTTCTTCTTTTTTACTCACTCTGGAAATTGCTCATGACACTCTGTTCTTTTTACCTTAGTTCACCTATGTAGAAAGATGTCATGTTGACATCACCTAAAATGCAGCCTTCAAATCCAGGACATATTTCAACATCCTAAAAAGACTCATACAATTCTACATTTCAAGTACGGACATTTCATACGCCAACCACACTTATACATTTCTTATCACACTGAAGGGTTCAGTTTTATTTACTGATTGCATCCTGTCTTGCATAATTTGCCTATCTCTCTCTTATCTGTTATATTCTGTGCTAATAGGAATATATAATTGAAAAACAAGGTGGATAAAATAAGTAAAGGTTTATTGTAAAAATCCACTACAATAAGAATAAAGGTAACAGTTATGCACAAGGTCATCGCAAGTCAATCCAATTGGAAGGTCGGTAGTTCTCGCGTAAATCTGAGTCATACTCAACAGATTCCAGCTAGTCTCTGTAGTCCGTTGACTTACAGATACTTATAGGTAGTTACTACCTATAGTGTAGTCACTCAGGTGGGGTGATAGGTTATTCCATTACATCATTACCAAATCTGCTTTTTATGATTACAAGGATTAATTGGAGCAGCAGAGAGTAACATCACTTGTTACTTTCAGGCAGTATGATCAAGGGGCCTTTCAATATAGTTTAGTCAGTTACCTTTAGTTAAGAAAATGATAATACCAGCATTGACTATTTAACTGGCCATGACAACTCAAAGCACCTGAAAGTGACATTCTTATCTAATGCTGATCAGTCTCAATCAAAATATTTTGATCCGGGAGGAGTGTGGGTTGAGAGCTGTGATTTATGAATCTTCCTAATTAAATTGGCAGGAGAGAGGGAGGAGTTCAATCTCCACAAAAGAGGATCTGATTCACCAGCAAGTGGCAGTCCATTCTGGTCAGCACTATGAGGAATGAACCCAATCTGACATTTTTTGCTTTCCCTAGTTTTGAAAGTGTCTAGTAGCAGCTTCCATTCCATTGCAGTGTTGATGCACATGAATAAAGCAGAATGATTCCCCTGTTTTACATTGTCTGTGATTTTTGGGGGGGAGGAGGACAACAGGCTAATTTTTTGATCATGACTGATTTTTTGCATCCAGAATTCACCTGAGAAGATGGCATTCATTGACTGAGTAGCAAATATCTTAGGCTATCTTTAAACTATTGTAAATCCCTAATAGTTGCCATCTTATTAAGTGGATATTTTTTTTATTGTACTATCTAAAGATGAAACTTTGGCCCTATTGGAGATATTTTCACACCTAATTATCACATCTTTTAGCAGGGGTTTTGAATGAGAAGAGAAGACAACACCTAAAAATAGCCATGCAAAATGAGTTCAATGACTGAATAATGATTTATATCAATTTATAGAAATAAATGACGATACCTGAAAAATACTGAAAGCTTCTGCATCATTTTTGTACATAGTGAATTTAATGCACTTTTTGAGAAATGCTCCAAATACATTCCTTCCTAAAATTGAAACAACCAATTTCTTTTGGGACAAGATTTTTGAGACGTTATTGCCATTGTTTTGTTTCTGAGCCATGAAATGATTTCTTATCATTTTCAGATCAACGTCTTCATCTTTTTTTTTGTTTTTGCCATATTATTTTGGTCTTCAAATGAAATTAGGAGAATAGTTAAAAATTAAAGTTAAATTAATCAGGAGGTTATGGTTTAGAACTAGTCTGACATGAGAAGAGTCTCTAAAACTGAATTCATAGACTTCAACCAGCAAAGCTCAATACAAACTGTCTCAGATGAATCAATAAAATCTATCTAATCTTTTACATATTTAGGAAGCAAGATAAATGCTACTGAAAAGGACGTGAAAATTCATATTGCTAAAATCTGAGCCATCTTGAATAAAATGGATGTAATCTGGAAATCTGGTCTACCAGACAACCTCAAGCAGAGATTCTTTCAAGCCAATGTAGAGGTGGTGTTAATGTATGTTTTTTTTTTTTAAGTATTCCCCACCCCCAAGTAAGGTGGGAGTGCCAGTAGTTTACAGGGGGTTACATAGAGTGAAAGTGAGAGAAAACCTGTGTATAGGGGAAATGAGGAAAGGATAAAGGATGAATGGGGTTCAAGACATCAGAAGATGGCGATTGACAATGCATTTAAAGTTTTGAAGATTGTTGTGTTCAGGGAAGCAAGTAAACAGAAGGGAATTCCACAGGCAGAAAGTGTGAGAAAAGAAACTGTTGGAGTAGAAGTGGCAGTTACATTTAACTATTTCAATGGTAAAAGGGTGGGACCTAAATGCCAATCTAGTAGCACTCTTAAATTTGTGTAGGTGGGGCACTAGGGAAAAAAGCTTGTCAGAGCACTTGTCATGAAAATATTTGTAGAAAAGCCAGAGGGAAGCGACATCATGTCTGTGAGAAAGTGACTGGAGTCGAGATGTCAAGTCGGGATTCATTACATTGCAGATCCTTCTTTGGATTTTATCGAGAACCTCAAGATGAACAGTTGGGGCACCAGACTAGATATAGCAAAAGTACTCAATGCACGGATGAATGGTAGATTTGTAGATATGTAGGATGGACTCTGATGAGAAAAAACCTTCTGGCGCAACTTTCCTTGCAGTAGATGCAGCTGTTGATTCAATACAGCTGTTCCACTTAAAGTCATTCAAAAGTACAAGGCCAAGAAGGTGCAGAGAGACACTCCATGCTAATGGCATGATCTGTAATTCTCTCTCTCTCTTACTCTCAACAGTTCTTTTTTTAAAACTTTCTTCTATATAAATTCTTCTTTTTTTCTCTTGTCAATTCAGGACATTGGCATTCATGGCTCTTCATAATTTCCTGTCCTTTGTAACTCTTTAATAACTTTTATCTTTTTTCCATCTCTTCACTTTAATCTCACTAGGTAGGCTATGTGTTGCTTTCCTCTGTTCTCTTACCTTCAATCTCTCATATCAGTATCACATTTTATAAACCCTCTGTCCTCATTATGTACCCTAGAAATTTCACTGTCTCTTCCTGATATTAAATAGGCATGTCCATTTGATGCCATTGTCTCTAGAACTTTGTTGTTGCTCACATGTTCAGTCCACGGTATTCTCAGCATTCTTCTGTAGAATTATATTTCTGTGGCTTCAGTCTTCATCTGTGAGGAGATTGTCTAGCATTCACGACCTACCATATAGGAGGACTGATATTACATAAAAGTTCAATACTCTTCTTGGTTTTTAATGATATTTTTAAACTTGTACTAATAGAATTTGTAGTGATTAAGGAATCAAAAATAGCGGCATATATCATTTAAATATTTCAAAGTAAGGTTATATCAAAATTGACCAAGAATCTGTATTTAAAATAATTGACAATGTTTAACCTTTCTTCCCACAAGAAAGCAGTGTGTCAAATGGACGACTATCCCTTTGACACTGCTATTTTTGTATGCACTTTTGACTCCCTCACCTATGTATATTTACAAGATTTATTATTTACCATTTTATAAAGATTTATTTACTATTTTAGAAAGATTTATTATTTACCATTTATAAAGAAGTAAATTGGAAAAGAAATGTTTTTATTCAATATAATTTATAAAAAATTACAAAATTATCAATATATCAAACCAACTACAAAGCAGTATTTATTATTTACCATTTTATAGATAACTACAGGTACTTGTAGGTTATCTGTTGCCACTTTTTATTATTATTATTATTATTATTATTATTATATCCAAGCTCGAAGAGGCTGGCTTCCAACATTTCAACGTTAAGCTTTGATACAATTTCATCAATGCAGATACCAGAGTCCACACTTAGAATATCGAACATTTGTGGGGATCAGCAAAGTGGAGGAACAAGTGTCATTGAGCAATGGCTTAACACCATCTTGAGACCTACTTAGCCAAGGTTATGTGGAGAAGGCAACTATCTGATGGAGTTGACCCATTTGATATCATCCTGCAGGTTATCACCACATTCACTCAAATAATATGATTAATATTTGTTATTTGAAGAAATAAATATAATTTTAAGAAAGAAATAATATAATTTTATGTATCTGTATTTGGGAAAAAGTTGGGAAATTAATTTAAAAAGCAGCAACAGATAAGCCACAAGTTGCTATGGTCTAGAATGATGATGATGATGATATTTCAACATTCTAAAAATAAACTTGTCATCAGTGATGATAGAAAAGAAGGATATTTCATCATCCTAATCTTCATCCTTATACAAATAACCCACAAGAGAGACAATAAAGTAGAGTAGACTAGGGTGGCTGTAGCAGTAGTCATAGATAAGTAGCAGTAGCATTTTTTCTCTCTGTGATAAAACAGATATAACCAAACCAAGTAAGCACTTGACTTTTAATTAAAAGACACTGAATATTTTTTTACACTATACCAATATTCTGTAATTCACAAAAAAAAACAAATTCTTGTTATTTATGTCAGTGAATGATTTTGCTATCATTGTTGTTTATGCATTTTAATTTCATGTCTTTAATATTACACTGAGGATATTTCTATATATAATTTAATTTTAAAATAAGTGCTGACAAAAAATAAACAATTTTTTTTCCATAAATATACAATTAAAATGAATGAACAAATAAAAAAATCAGAATGAAAAAATAAGGATATTTCATCATTTTAAAAATAACCTTCATCATTATAAAAAAATAAGGATATTTCATCCTTCTAACCTTCATGATTATAAAACCGACTTTCCCATCATGTGGATGAGTAGATAAGTAGCAGTAGCAGTAGAGAAACACATGTATAGCCAGCACTCCAGTGAAGATCAAAGACACATGATTTCCAAATGCCATCCTCACAAACGAAATTCTCAGAACCAAACCAAGTAAGAACTAACTTTTAAACAAAAGAGACACTGAGAGCATTTTTACACACACTATACCAATATTCTGTAATTCACATCACAAAAAAAAAATACAAATTCTTGTTATTTATGTCAACATGTGTCTCAAGTTTGTTATCGTTGTACGTTTTATGCATTTTAATTTCTGTTATTAACATCAACTCTGTTACAGTCAACAAATAATAACAATGGAGAAAATAATACATCAACACCCAGCATACAAACTTCGTTAGATACTTAACTATGAAAACAAATTTTTATTCATCTTACTTATTATAAAATGCAGATTGTGTGTGTGTGTGTCTGTACGTTTATATATTGGATTGGATTTCGTACATTTTTCAACCGATTTCAACAAAACTTCACAGGACTACGTAAAATTACCTTGCGGTGGTTCTGACGGCACCAAAAATTGGAAAAACACAATTGTTTTTGCACGAAATCAATTTGAAAACACAATAAAACACGATTCTGTTGCCAGAATGAAAGGGGGGCAACTCATATCGAGTTATACTTATTATAAAACCCAGGTTGTTTATGTGTGTGTGTGTGTGTGTTCATTTATATATGGGATCGGATTTCCTACATTTTTCAACTGATTTCAACAAAACTTCACTTTTTTTTACATTCAGAATGCTTTAAAAATTCCATTTACAAGACAATTGTTTATAATAAAATTCTACTCAATTGATAGACTCATAGTCATAATGATTGAAAACAATGTTTTTGTTTGAGTTTGGGTTTGACCAATTCATAAAAAAAAAACTAATTAAGACATGCATGTGTGTCAACCTTAAACAATAATCTTTGTCAATTTTATTTTTCAGTCTTTATGATGGTCGATACTTGATGTATCTTTTACTGTTACATCCCCGGGCAATGCCGGGCTCTCCTGCTAGTTATTTTATAAAAATATCAATGAACTATAGAAGAAGAACATTTGAATAAACACATGATATGTTTTCCCTTTTTAAAGCCCTAAAATTGCTGACAAAATTAAAAAATGTATATAGTAAGAGCAGTGTCAAGGAAAATAACCGTTCTTTCAGCAAACATTATTTTTTTGCAGGCACAAAGGTTAAACAATGCCAAATATTTTATATAAACCATTGAATAAGAACTGTGGGAAGGAGTTAATTTCAAATTACTAATTAATATTAATTTCACCCTTGAAAATTAAATTACATTTAGGAAATTTAATTTCCATACATGTATGCATATATACTTGCACATAGCATAGCGGTTATTGTCTTGGAAAGGGGAGCAGAGCATGCTGAGTTTAAATTTTGTCTGAGGCTATTGCATTCACTTTTGCACAAATAGTCTTAGGCAAGGCATGAATCCATTTCTTCTACCCAAGTTGGAACAGACTGGGCCATCTAGTATATTTTCTATTTCCTCGAGAAGAAAAGAAAGAAAAGGTTGATTTGTCCGTACCTGGCATTGATTTGCCACATGTGAACTGACGGTTCTTGACTGCTGGTTGTGAAGAGAAATGTCCCGTCGTAACTTGCCACAAGATTATGAACCTGAAGTAGGAAAAACATGTTGGATAAAAGGAAATTGGAATCAACAAATTTGCTTCAACCACAGATGACACATACTCTATCCCTGAACACACAAGTGCTTTGTGACCCCTGCTATCTTATTAACATTTGCTTTTCTTCTACCTACAATTAAATATGTTACAAATTAAACCAAGAACAACAGACTATTAAAGAAATTTTTGCGGATTTTGATATCATTCTGGGGTCTTTTTTTTGTTCAAATTTGTGAATTAGTTTTGCTTATATGAAATCTTGAAAAAACCTGATATAACATTCACTATCTTTTATCCATAATATTGAATGTGTTAAAACTATTCAACTTTTTAACAAGAAAACTCTCAAGTCAATATTAACATTGCCACAAAAGATTGTTGATTTATTTAAGATGGAACAATCTATGATGTTCTTTAATTTGTATTTAGATCCATTGTATTTATTTTCAAATTTTTCTACTGGAATTGTTCACCTATATTGCATATGATCCATTATTGTACATAATTAGGTTACAATAAACATTTATATTTTATATGGATACTACCTCATGAAAATTGAGATGTAATAGTGGGGGGGGGTATCATAGACGTGGGGAATGCACAAGACCCTTGCACCGGCCCCCTGGGTTCAACTACAAATGATATGAAGATTTTTTCTTTTCAGGAAATTGTCTCAATTTTAAAAAGGTTCCAGTTTTTCAAAAACACTCTCGTTGTGGACGACAAATGAAGGTTGAGTCAAATAAAGAGGTGCTCAACTTCTAAGGTCAGATATGCATCTCCAGAGGCCTGCAGGTGTTTTGTAGACTTTTAGACATGTGGTAGGGCCATTTCACTCAAGTGGTTGAGGATCAATTGCCACATGTTTCCATGAGTGGACAGCAAGGCCTGCTTTACTGCATGCGACAAAGCCACTGTGGGAGGTAAGGGTAAGGCTATCATTGAGAAGGGCAGCATACTGCCTACTTTAATATTTGCATGCAGTTGATCCTGATGTTCAAGTCAACCTCATTCAAACATCTGTATAGAGGAGAAGCAGGACAGGTGTTTACTGAACAACCTGCACATGGCTTGTTTATAGTAGTCACTACTTGTGAAGCACAATGCACACTCTCTCCATCAAAACAGCATAGCCAATAATGGTGTGCATATATATATATATATATATCAAGATATCCTGAAGATTTCATTTAAGCTTGAAACAGACTGTTGCCACTTGGTGTTCATTTCAGTGTCCACTGTTACATTTACACTCACTCTATCTCTAATATTTATCCATAAAGATAGTATACATTAAAACTATTATTTTATCATTATGGGATGAACTTGACTGAAACGGGAAAAAAATGAAAAAGACCTTTTAGAGTCATTGAAAAAAAATGGAATCAATTATCAAACTTATACTTTGAGAAACTTTTATAACAAATGCTAAAAATGTGTGCTGCAGTAATCAAGGCTAAAAGAGGATATTTTGATGAGAGTAAAATTTAATCACAAAATGCTTTTCTTCATTTTGTCATAATAAAATTTCTAATAAAAAATCATGTTTCACTTTTTTTTTAACCCTTTATAATAATTTTCTCTTATTTAAAGTACAAAACAATTACTTTTGGGGCCAATATATATATATATATTTATATAGGTTTCATTAAAGATGACTTTTTATTATATTTTTCTTGCATGTGTACAAGAGATTTTTCTTTTGGACACAGAGTGTATAAGATCTGTCCAAATGAGTTGTGGATCCAAACACTTTCAACTAATCTATTTAGCCATTATTAAGGATGTGTTTTTTTTGTTTGTCAGAATATGTAGCAATAGGAATGTTTCAATTTCTGAACACAGTCAGCATGTTGCAGAAATCGGTTAAAAATAATGGAAGCATTAACAATAAAAAAAGAAAACAACTCTCAATAATAACAATTATGAACATGGCCGCAGCATGCTGACAGTGTTCAGAAATAAAAATATTACTATTGTTATAAAAAAAATCACAGTGCCTTATCAATCATCTGTGAAACCTGAATATATATATATATATATATATATATATATATATATATATATATATATAATATGATCATGAAAACTTAAGGTTGTCTCTTTCTTAATTATTTAATTAATTATATATATATATATATATATTTATATATATATATATACAGGTAAGATGAGAATGAATAGAGTACAATTCCAGCATTTGAAACATCTTACTTATTATAAAACGCAGATTGTGTGTGTGTGTGTCTATATTGGATCGGATTTCTACATTTTTCAACCGATTTCAACAAAAACTTCACAGGACTACGTAAAATTACCTTTATGTGGTTCTGACAGCGCCAAAAATTGGAAAAACACAATTGTTTTTGCACGAAATCAATTTCAAAACACAATTAAGAGGCATTAATGAAAGGGGGACAACTCATATCAAGTTATACTTATTATAAAACCCAGGTTGTTTGTGTTTGTGTGTGTGTGTGTGTTCATTTATATATGGGATCAGATTTCTTACATTTTTCAACCGATTTCAACAAAACTTCACTTTTTTTTTGGCAGTTTGTGTTTCTTATTGTCTTGCACACCTTTTTTCTTTATTTTTACATTCAGAATGCTTTAAAAATTCCATTTACAAGACAATTGTTTATAATAAAATTCTATTCAATCGGTAGACTCATAACGATTGAAAACAATGTTTTTGTTTGAGTTCGGGTTTGACCAATTCGTAAAAAAAAAAAAAACAAACAAAAAAAATAATTAAGACATGCGTGTCTGTCAACCTTGAACAATAATCTTTGTCAATTTTATTTTTCAGTCTTTATGATGATCTGATCTATCTCTTACTGTTACATCTCTGGGCAACACCAGACTCTACTGCTAGTTTAATTTAAAAGAGGGCTCAATACAAAAGTAGAGCAATATTCTTTATTTTAGGATATTACACTGAAAACTTGTCAAAATCACTACACAATTGCAGTCATGTTTTGATGTGTATCAATGCATCTCATCAGGTGATTGTAAATTTACAATCGCCTGATGAGATGCATTGACATGCATTGAAACACAATTGTAAATGCGTAGTGATTTTGACATGTTTTCAGTGTAATATCCTAAAATAAATATATATATATATATATATATATATATTGTGTATTTGGGCAGCAATCTCTCTTTTATACCGGTTTCATTAAAATTAAGCTATCATTAAAAACAATTATGTATTTAATTGTGTTTTTAATAAAACTTGTATGACTCAAACTTCCTTCAACATAATTTTCTATTTTTATTCTGATTCATATAAATTATAATAGATTGGCAAGATGAAAACACATGTACCTGAAAATGTTGCAATTTTAACAACACAACTAGTTTTTCTTTCCCTACCATGGAATAATTCTTCTGATGGGTGAGGGTGTTCAATATTCTCCTCTTGTCTGTCTGTAACAACACAGCACTGACACCATAATCATTTGTATTGACAGCAAGGCTAAATGGCTGAGTAAAGTCTGGAGCTTTGAGGACAGGATTTGAACATAATAAGGCTTTGATTTGATCAAAAGATTGTCAATAGGAGTGAAATCAATCTTAGCCTTTTTTTTTTTAAATAAACACATAAGCAATAAAGATATTCTTCAAAACTTACAATAATAACCCACCATACCCCCAAATCTTTGTAAACTTCTTATATTGGTTGGTGCTGGATATTGTATAATATATTGTATTTTTGATTTGATAGGGGTTATTTAAAGTTTTGCCTTGAGGTTGGCTATGACCTCAGAGTTATTGAATTTAACAACTTCCTCTCTGTTCTCATCTGATTCAAATGCAGGAGTGGACCACTAATATAGGGGATCAATGTTTTCTTTTTCAAAGTAGGATTTAATCATATTTGAGTTGATTTCCTGCAGTCAGGAGTATTTATAATGTAATTGAAACTTCCATTTAGGTTTTTGTGACTTACCCCACCTGGATGAGCAATAAGTGCTGTCGACTGATGAGGGTTTCCATCAAAAGGGAGAATTTGTAAACCAACTTTGTCTTGGGTGAGGAAGGCCATGTACATATGCTTTGGATTGACACCCTCAGTCGATAGAACAATTAGTCTAAAAAGAAACAATAAAGAAACAATTGAAAACCTGCAGAGTCTGAAAAAGTAGTTTGAAGGGGACCGCATGCAGCTGCAGATTAATTGACATTGGTAAACCAAAGTAGTAATTAAAAGAAAAACATAGCAAATTTATTGGTTAAAGATAAATTACCCATGCTAGATATAGAATGACAGATGATAAAAGTCTATTTCATAATCTATACTTGGCACTACATGACCATTATATAGGAATCAGTGTGCCATAAAACCAGAATCAGAATCTTGGAGATGGGTTTAAAGACTATGAGAATCTATTTGAAAATCCTTGTTTGATACTCTGTGACCATTATATAGGTGTCAATGTGTCATAAAAAGCATATTCAGAATCAGATCTCAGATATATAATTATGATTAGAAATTTGTTCAGCATTACACAACCATTATCTAAAAGTATATATACCATTGGGATTTTTTTATTTGAAGTCTTTTAATCTTGTTTCATCTTAATCCTTGCTTGACATGCACAGTGTTTTATCTTCCAAAATTGAGATGAAAGACACTGCCAGAAAATTACTGATCAACTGAATTCCTATCTGGGAATATTCTTTGAATTCCCAATGCATTTTATTTGCCATTGCCTCCTCTCAAAATGCCAATTTTTTTTTCCCAGAGTCCAGAGAATACTAATTATGAAAGAATTTTATTCCAAGTACCAAATGAAATGGCAAAATGTGATAAAGTGAAAAGATGAAAGTGGTGGATCAAAAAATATAACAAAAAAGAAAAAACAATATATGGCAAACTGGTTATCACTCCTCAATTTTTGGAGCTCAATTGAAGACAAAACATAAATATATACACAATGAGTAAAAAATACAGTAGTCAGCAAAGTACATTCAGATTATCATTTGAAAGTGCTTGAGACGATTTATATTAAGTCTAAGCAACCTTCCCTTCATAAGCAGAAGGTATGGTTACTGGGTCTAAATTTAATCTGTCTGTAATTTATATTGTAGTGGAGTGCGGGGAGGCTTACAGCGACATCATGTTGAAACACTGGTTCCTGTATGGTCACCAAAGTTAAGCAATGTCTATCTTGGTCAGTACCTAGACAGGTGGCCACTTGAAAATACCAGGTGCTGTAGGTTTGGATGTGCAGGTGGTGTAATGGATACTGGCCCAGAATTGTTAATCGGAGAGCCGAGTTCCAATTCTAGCCAGGTTTGTTATATTCACTTATGCACAAATACCCTTGGGAAAGAAATGAATCCACCTCTTCTTCCCCTAACTAGGGGTTAATTAGTAAAACTTGTATCACTAATATCATTATCTAAAAAAAAGATTTGTTATAATCTAAAAATGTTTTCTGGCTTTAAATAACCTACAAAGGTTTCATAAATCAACCAATTGAAAATATTTATTTTTCTTTCTGGCTGAGCTCTGAAGAGTGAGGAGCAATAAATGGATAGTCTTTTTTTGTTTCTTTTTTGCAATATTTTTGACCCATGCCTTAACATTGAGTAATAATTTATTTTTTGGCTTATCCTTGCTCTCCTCCCCACTGTTTTAATATATTTGTGTAAATATCCCATGTCACAATTGCAACAGACTTTTCAGGGCAAAGATTGCAATCATTAGTCATCTATGCAACCACTCCCACCCTCTCCTGCAGTGAGTTGAAGACAAGGTCATCTCAGTATGTGGATGATGAACATAGAATATATTTATATGTACTTTTAAAATGTTTGTTTTTAAAAGCCCTAATAAAATTTTATATCATAGTTTTCTTAACAAATAAACAAAAAATAATCAAACTTACTTTGCAATTGGACATTCATAGATTGGAGCCAGGGTAGTTTTTCGACACATCATTGTTGTTGAATTGTATAATTTATATTTATACTTCAATAAAAAAATCAAAGAGGACATTGAATGAATGCAAGTCTTTCACAAGACTTTAACTTGCAACAGGAAACATGCACAAAAGGAACTAATTTGCAATGCATTTATTTTCACCAGAAAGATATTCTATAGACATTTCTCAATTTAAATTCTGTCATCAATGCAGATCTACAGTATTATCATAGACAAAGTATTTCTCCAGTAATATAGTCAATATAATAATATTATTTCTACAATAAAAAAGTCAATAAGCCAATATATTTTTATTGGAATAATCACTACATTTTCATAATAAAAATCCAATGCATTACTATAGTAATAAAAATTGTTGGCCAATACATTTTTATAAAATAATGCTTTTTGTAAAAGTATTGTGTTGTAATGGATGCTACCTGCTTTACCCATAATTATAATGGATGCTACCTGCTTTACCCATAATTATAATGGATGCTATCTGCTTTACCCATAATTATAATGGATGTTGAAGTAAACAGGGAATTGTGGGTAGAAAAGTGGCTATATGAGTCAATGAGAAATCAGTTGATAGGTAGGTTTGATCAGGTATCAAGCAACTTGATGGACAGACAAATGAAACACAGAGGATGAACAAAAGGAAGCAAGAAGCATGTGAGAAAGGAAGAAAAACTAATTGTTTTGCCCCCTAAAACTACACTTTTTTATATTAATAATCTTTGTTCAATGCATTACCATAATAAAAATCCTTTGTCAATGCATTTTTGAAATTGTGAAAACAATTTCTATTGTAAAAAACACTGACTATTAATTTTTATAGCAAAATTCCTTGTCATTTTTATAATAAAACAAATAATGCAATGATATAATAAAAAATCTTTGATCAGGTTGTTTTTCTAGAAAAAATAATTGGCAATTAATTTTGTGAGTAAAAATCTTATTGACCAATAGATTTTCATAGCCAAAATCTTTGGCCAGTGCATTCTAGAGTTAATATCTTTGGTCAATGTATTTTTATAACTATTGTATTCCTTTAATAATATTTCATGTTCACTAGAATTTTATAATAAAAATCCCTGGAAATCCATTACTATAACAAAAAATATCACTGACCAATAGATTTTTATATTAAAATCCCTTAGCAAATGAATTTCATAGTAAAAATCTGTGTTCAATGCATTATTATCATAAAAAATACTTTGCCAATGGATTTTTACAGTAATAATCTTTGGTTAATCCATTTCTATACTAATATTCCTTGGTCAATAGAATTTTATATTAAAATTTATAGGAAATCTATTTCTATAGAAAGAGACCAATTGACTTTTTTATAGTAAGAGACTATTGACCAACAGATTTTTATAATCAAAACCATTGAAAATCTGTTTCAATAAAAAAAACTTTAACCAATTGATTTTAATTGCAAAAATTCTTGGCCAATAAAATAATTCTTTGGTAAAGCAAATAAGTGATTGCAAATAATCAATTCTGAAGATTACCAAAAATATATTTGATCTTTCCCTGGAATATGTGAAAAAAAAATTTATAAATCATGAGACAGTAACTATGAAATATTTGAAAGCAGTCTACAGCCCAGAATACCATGCAAATTCATTTAATGGTATTGTAACTAGTGTGAATATGTCTGTACATTGTAATTTTTTGGTAACAACCATTCCCACTACCTCCCACCATCAACATGAGAATTCCCCATTGAGCCAAGATTGAATTTTGTTACCTGATCATTGGCTGTGACAATAAAGTGTTCCTTATTAAGAGGTGGGTGCCATGCCATACACCTGGGTGTAGCACTCTGTTCAATTCGTTCAATTGAAAGGATCCTCACATCATTCACGCTACTTGCAACTAAGTCGTATTCAACCTGCAGTGAAATAAATAGGAATAATAAAGTTACTATCTGAATTTCTGGGATCAGGAGTTATTATTATTTACATTAGGACTAATTTCCTTGTTTTTGTTGTCGCTGTAGGGATACAAAAGGTGATTATCTCACTTTGGTTGTGATAAAGTCATGTGATGGCCACTTAGTGATGTCACTTCATAGAGTGATGAAAGTGAACAGTCCATCAGTTAACTGCCTGGAGTGAAGACACATGTGTTGTTTGTACTGCCTTGTGCAGCTTACAATGTTTATTGTAAGCTGCAATAATATATTTTCACCAGTTATAGAAACTATCTCTAGCTTGCAGTCCTCATGTTCGGAAAAACCCATCTCAGTTTCCTGTTTGAGTGGATAATGTCCTCGTTAGTGACATAGCAGATAAATTCAGTCTGCTTGAATATGGAATCCTAAATATGGCTTCTCCAGAAACACAGAAGAATCTCCGGTAGCTTCAATTCCTGTTGGGAATTATTATAAGTAAGACCCTCTCTTTTTGTTTTCTTTTCACACTGCTTGTTGTGTAAACGTGTTTTTGTTTCTATGAGTGGAACATGTGGAAATACATGTATATAATTTTGTGTGTGACTTAACAGTATAACACACTCTCTGAGAACAAAGCATGTTTGTCATTCCCTTTCTTCCAGTTATTCTGTTTGTGCAATAAGGTGTTATTATATCATGGATATAATAATGCCTTTAATGTGGGGAAATACAATCTGGGAATAAAACTTTCTTCACAGCTCACTTTTTACCTTGGTGACATACCTGACATGAAGTGATATCATTAAACCCCATTATCGTTATCACAATGCTTCAGCCATTGTTCCCTCCAGCCTTCTTCAGGTGTTTGATGATCCATGTAACCATCAGGGAATTCTGAACTAAATCTTTATTTAATCTACAGGGATAGATTGTTCAAGTTCCATTACCTATGTCTATCTCGCCTTGTTCTTTTCTTAGTAATGCTCTGTTATTGCTAACCTTGTTTCCACTAAGTCTCTGTCTATACCACTCGGCCCAGGGATTGAACTCAAAATTACTATGCTAATAAATTCAGAACACAACACTTTAATTCACTGGACTATTTTCTGATGGATCAGCTAATAAAGAACAAGATGAAATATCCGTAGACATGGACAGATTAAATAAAAGCTTCAGTTCAAATTTCATTGAAGGTTAGCCAGACTGGATGACACCACAAAATTGGCATTGTTTCAATTCTTGAAACATAAATTTTCTAAAATATTACAACTAAAAATTCTCTGCAATTAAACAAAAAGAGTGAAAAGTTGGACTTTAATAAATTTGGGTCAATCATTACGAACTGAATTACTTACCAACATCCTGTCTTCTCCAAGAGAAAGCAACCGGGGTTCTTCATCGTCAAATTTCTCTCCAAACATCAGCTCTCTGATCGGTTTGTAATGTGCTCGATAACGTCCAAGAAAGATGAATGTAGAGCCTTCTTTCTTTAACAGTGATGTTGTAAAGCCAGAATCCTGGAAATGAGAATAAATATACAGTTCTCTGTGTTATCACAATTTTTAAATATGACTGTACTGATAAATCATCAGTTATCTCCCTTTAAGATCTAGGAGATATAAAAAGTAGTCAGAGTCAAATGCAATAAAGTTTTGGTAAAAGTGTATTCACTGCTTCTCTTTTTACTACAATGACTGAATGTGGGCAGAGTAGGGAGGCAAATTGTTTGGTGGAATAATTTTGTAAGATGTTTTGCAGAACTTGCTCAGCTAAATGCAATGGACAGAAATATTGTAGAATATTTATTAGAGAATAGGGATCAACTGTCCCTGGCCAGAAAAGGACATCATATTCAGAAGCAATCATTAGCTGAATGTCCACAAACACACACACACACATTTCCACTAAGTTTTTTTTTTTTTTTTTTGACTTATTCATGGATACACATCTACCAGATGATCCAGATGACTCTTGGGATGTTGGTACTGACCCTGATATGTTGTAGTGTATGGTAAGAATGTGTTGTGGGTGGGGGAAATACCTAAAATTACTCTCCCAGCAACTACAGAGAGGGGGAAAAAGACAAAAAAAAAACACTGCCTCAGAAACCACAGCAAATTTATGAACAAAATGCCCATAGGACTGACTTCATAAGACACTAAGTCTTACCAACTGCCTACTGTTAGTTTTCCCATTGTTTTATTGGCATGACAAAGGTCCAGATCTTGACCAGTTGCAGAGAGGCCTGTATATAGACATGCCAAGCAGTTCTGCTGCTAATGGGGGGAAAACCCAGATGTAACTGGTGTTGACAGACATGTCTGCATGTGATTCAGGGCTTCTTTTATGTCTATATTGATGCACATTTGACTCATGTTATTAGGGCATGTTATTTACAGACCTTCACTCCAAAGCTTATTTCATCTACATATATAAAAACTATCTATGACTCCACTATATTATTATTATTATTATATAGTTGGATGTATCAAAAGTATTTTTTCTGCCCTTTAGTCCAAAGCTTATTTCATGGCCACATCTAAACACTATCAATGATTCTACTATATTATTATTAATGTTATTATTACATATTCAGGTGTATCAAAAGCATTTTCGTTTTTTTTCTACCTGAATATTCTATAATAAATTTATTGGCAAGGTATGTTCTATAATAAAAAATGATTGGCATTTCATTCTATAGTAATAATCCTTCTTATTTATGTGCTTCATAAACAATTTCATACTTACAGCAGCAGCCAAATAACAAGAATTTTGAGAGAAGACAACCTGAATAATGGTTTGTTTGGAATAATTGTGGATGTCAGAGGGTTTGGCTTTTAAGGTGAAAGAATCAAGCACTTGGATGACCCCACTGAAAAAACCAACAGCTGAAAAAAAAAACAATAAAGAAATTTAAGAAAAGCAAGCAGACAAATTTTCGTTTTTTTTTTTTCCTCACTTTCTTTTTTAAATTGATTTAACTTACCTAAATGATATCCATCTGGACTGAAAGCGCAACATTCTATCATCTCTTTCTCAAATGTGCAGCTACCAATGGACACTCTGTTGATATGTAAACAAAAAAGGCAAGAGTTTAATAAAGTTATTATTTTATAGACTTTTTGGTAAAGTTTAATATTCTTACCAATAAAAAAAAACAAAAACTGGAGTTTCTTTATTTCATTAGATTGATTATTTATAAGAATAATTTTATATTTACAAGATTATAAAAATATCAGGACTAACTACAATCCAATATTTATCTTTTACCATATTATAATGAAATTTAAGAAAATTAATTAGCTATTATAAAAAATTGAAAACAGCTAAGCTCATCGTCAACAACTCATCTGTAAAATTCAAATTACAGAGGACCAATATTATTTATGAATTTACATGCCTCTTCAGGTACTGTGTTCCTGATCCAACCAAATCCATGAATAATAATTGCATTGGACATACAACTACATACTTATCAAGAAGACTGACATTATATCTAACAGATCATAGCTCAATTAGGTCCCATTTAAACACACAGAGAAACCAACCAAATTCCGTCCACAACATACTTGTAGAAAATATGACTATAACAGCCCCATCCACATATATAAAATGGCTAAAAATAATAAAAGCATTAATAATAAAAAAGAAAAATCCCAAACTAAATAACATCAACTATGATAGCCACAATGTGCTGATCGTGTTTAGAAAATTTAAAAAAAAAACAAATTCACATCCAGTAGATAAAAAAAGGAAAAACTCACTTTTCAATGTAATTGTACAATTTCAGGAACCCAGCATGACTTCCTGTGGCTAGAAATGGTCTGAGTAATAAAAAGAAAAATATTTTTATTATTGTTTTCTTACACTTCTCCTCATGTTTATCATCTAAAAGAAAAAGCAGCAAGGATTGTTATAAAAGTTAAAATGATATATATTTTTAATGCAATGTCTCTTCAAGATATAGGTGATCATGGCTTTCCACAGTTTCCTTTCTCTTGTTATCTGCGAATTGTCATGATGGCTCTTGCAAAAGATAGTGTTGTAATTTCCTGCTGCCTTCTCGCCTGTTTTAAATTCAGGGTAGTCATTCTTCTCGACTGGTTGTCTATCCAAGCTAAAAGAGTCGAGTCTACCTTGCTATTTAACCCATAGCTGTGGAGAGAAGGAATGGATTCATGCTTTTCTCAAGGTCATTAATTTTGAAAGTTAATGCAATAGACTCGTTGGGAATTTGAAATTGATTCTACTTTCCTTGTTGATAACCATGACACTATCCAACACAATTGATAGTAGCTTTAAATGTGAAATTGGAGAGACAAGTATGAATTCCAACTGAGTTTTCTACATTGGAAAAGATATGAATTCAGCTCTTCTCGCACCAACTATAAGTTAAATAGTAGATACTTTAGCTTTGTTTGCCAACCAGTCTAGGAGGAGAAAACCATTAAATTCAAAAACATATATAGATCTAGTGAAGTATATACACCCTTGTGCAAATTAATTGAAACAAAACATATAATTCAGTTATTATTTACTTTTTTCATATTTTTCTAATGAAGAATGACCCATTACACATGTTAGCACTTCATATGTCCATTCCATGAAGTCGTTCTTTGCAGATTGACCACAGACTCTCAATTGGATTTAAATCAGGAGAGTTTCCTGGCCAATCTATAGTACTTTGATTTGCTCACTGATAAGGCTTGCCAGTGTTTTTGTGCAGCATTACAATTTTTGTATGCTTCCTTGGAGTAACATCCATCACAGACACTGGCCATAGGACAACTAATCAACAGTCCAGACAATAGTGTCTGGGCATGATTAAAATCTGATGCAATCACAGATGACACAATATTTTTCAAGGCCAAAGAAATTTCATCATACATCCCAAAAATAGATTCACCACTGCAAATGACCTAATCTGAGGAAAAATAGAAATCGATTACACCCTGTTACTCCAGTGGGTCTAAAACTGACCGTATGCTGAAAGAAATGAAACTAAAGTGGTTGTTTCAATTAATTTGTGCAAGGGTGTACTCTGTAGTTAATGAATGCATCCTGACTGCATTAAACTGATAGATCTGCACATACTTGAGATAATGTTAGATATGTCCATCTACTTAATGCCTTTGCATGCTCCCCTCCACAAAAAAATATACCTCCATCAAATAATGACCTCAAAGTCAGGAATGGGTTTTGGGGTTAAAACATCATTGCTACTAATCCAAAGCACCCCAGTAATACCTCATGATGTCAACACTTTGTTGGTTTCCCATCAGAGCACTGCCAAATCCATGCAAATACAGCTTCTTCTCAGTTTTTTTATATAATCACCACTGAGTGGACCCTGAATTTCTGTCTATCGGGATGAATGGATATTCTCTCAGGGAGGCCCTGTAACTTTAGCACCTATGTGGACTTAAACTCAACACATCAAATGGAACTCCTACATAAGGTCCATCACTAAAGATACTGGAAAAATGGTCAGTTCCCTGTACCGCTCCAGTAAGTACCTGACTCCTCCTGCTATCTTCTACCTTTACAAGGGCCAGATCAGGCTGAAAATGAAGTATTGCTGCCCAGTCATCACATTCTAATCTTGATAGAATCCAAAAGTGTCTCTGAGTCCTTGTGGGTGATGAAGTATTTTCCAAATTACAACCCCTTTACCATAGATGGAACATTGCAAGCCATCTGCTACTCTATTGCTATTTCCATGGAGAGTGTTCAGATGAACTAGATTCCTTAGTCCCACCAATTCTGAACTTCATGGCTAAGATCCACCATGACACACAGATTGTAGCAAACCAACCTCATTCCTTTTGTATTCCATTGGTGAGATGTGAGTTCCAGTCCAGCAGCTTCTCCCCACACTGCTTTGTGGAACCAACTCCCAAGAGGATGCTTCCCCAATCACTACAATCTTAACCTGTTCAAATCTATGGTTATCTTTTCCACATATCTCTCTATAAACTGTACCTCTTACTCTGTAACCCTCTTTTAAAGCATGATGAGAGTCGGGTACTTACTGGAGCAATACTGGGAATTACCATTTTTTTACTATCTTTAGTGATGGGTCATATGTACGAGCTCTACTTGGGGTCTGGGTTGAGTTAATAGGCGCTCAAGGCATGTGTAAAAAAATAACCAAAATTTGTATTGAGTTCAAGCTTTCGACTCACATGGGTTATCATCAGGAGTTTGAGAAAGTAAAGAGAAGAAAAGAAAATCAAATGTATTTTAAGCAGGGCCTTATTTTTAAGGCGGCATTAATTTGGAAGGGTGGGGCTTGAAAACTAACTCAAATGCAGTAGAATGCAGTAAATCATGTTAACAATGTGTCCCAACAATATGTAATGACATGTAATTTTATTTTTATATGCATTCAAGTCTTAGTCAATGATTATAGTCTTAGACCAGCAATTTCCAAGGGGCAAGGTCAGGGTTGTGTTTTGGTAGGCAAGGTGGCAGCAACCCCCAAAAAGTTCAGGAACCATTGTCTTAGATTATCATTATTTTTTCGTAATGGATGTTTTGTAAAAGTTTAAGATTTACAAAAAGTTATAGATTTCAAGCACCTCTAGTTAACAGATGTTAATGCAATGCTATCTTATTGCGAACACATTCAGGTGATCCTGGACTGAAAATGCATGGAAAACTTACAGGCACATTTAGACTTTTCTAGCCTTAAAAGGCTTCAGGTTTTTTCCCATTAATAAACCTGTTGTGAAGTAGAGGTTAGCACTGATCAGTCACTAGACTCTTACTACTGGTGGTTATTCTCAGTGACCACTTATAAGAATGTTCACTTCTGCCTATGCAAATTATGCATACTAATTTGCTAGTATCACTACATCTCCCTAAACCTTAAGGGCTTTATCCCTCTCGTAGATCTTGTACTCCTTCTTCTGCCATTTTCCTCACTCTGCTCTATTTCTCTCTCTCCTGTATTTCTTTCCCTGGGAGACCTCGATCTGTCACATGTCACATGTGTCCTCTTGCATACTCTGATCTTCATCTGAATTTTCAGAGTCCTTCTGTCTCTCTTCCTCCTGCATTGTTTCCTCTGACGTTTCCTTCTGTAATGGTTGTTCAACCAACTCATTATCAGATGAAATTGACATCTCTTCGTCATTTCGTTCTTTCTCTTCACCCTGGGTCCTTATTTGGTCAGCATGGGCCAACACACTATCGCCATTCTATTTATTATGGCTGTATTATGGCCTTTTTGCATTATAAACTCGGCTCCTTCAGGATCTGCATCCTTGCTCTTTTTATACCACATCTTTTCACTTGTAGAGTATGACATTGTTAGCGGAGGTCTAATCTGTCTCCCCATTAAAGCTGATGGGCTTTCCAGTCTTCCCACATGTGGTATGATCCAATAACTTAAAAGCATCCTTGGTAGAAAAACTTCTACTTTTTCTTTTTGCTGAGAGCATGCTTTCAGTCCCTTTTTTACAGTCTGAACCATCCTTTCTGCTAGTCCATTTGATTGAGGGTGGTATGGAGGAGTCTTATATGGTTTACACCCTATTTTCTCTAACCATACGTTAACTTCTTCCTCACAAAATTCTGGTGCATTATCTGATACCAGGGTTTTTAGTACACCATTTCTAGAGAATACAACTCTTAGAATTTGCTTTATAGTGGAACTTTTCTTGTTTGCAACCCTTATTATTTCAGGCCAACCTGAAAAAGAGTCTACTAATATTAATAAGATCCCACTCCATTTACATATGCATGATACATATGGACCCTACTCCATGGCTCCACTTCTTTGGGCCATGAATGTAACTTGGCTTGTGTAAAGTTTCTTAATTCTTTACATTTTTTACATCTCTTTACATAATCCTCAACGTCTCTTGAATAACCCGGCCACCAAGCTTCTAATTTTATCCTTTTTTGTGTGGCCGCTACTCCACAGTGTATATCATTATGTACACTTTCTATTATCGGCTTTCTTTGTGTTTCTGGGGGAACTACCAGGTCCCCATTGCATATTACTCCATGTTCTATTGGTAATTTGTGCCTTATTTCTTTATAAGGTCTTTCCACCCTAGAACAATTTCCCCATGAATTTTTTCTTATTCTCGATAATATCCTACTTAGCACCGGATCATGTCTCGTTTCCACAGCCATTCTGTCTAAAGACAAAACATCAGTCTCTATCAAGTGTAGGAATGAATCTTTAAATTCTTCCTCTGTTTTGTCTTTTGAGTCCTTATAAAACCTCAATCTTGATAGTGCGTCTACATGTGGAATTGAATTTCCTTTGACATACTCTATATCAAAGTCAAATGCCATCAATCTTATCGCCCATTGTAGAATCCTTGATGTCGTGACTTTGGGTAATTCTTTCCTTGGGTTAAATATAAACTCTAATGGTCTATGATCACTTCTTAATAGAAATTTTTTTTCCAATTAAAAAAATGTCGGGCTCTGATAGTTGTCCACACAATAGCCAATGCTTCTTTCTCTATGTTTGAGTAATTAAATTCAGTGTTCATCAACCTTCTCAATAAATACATTATCGGATGTCCTTCTTGTGATAATATTCCCGATATTGAATGTTCACTTGCATCTGTAGTGAGTGTTAAGTCCTTTTTTGGATCAAAAATTTTCACTACAGGTTTCTTTGACATTATTTCTTTGAATGTTTCAAAAGCTTTCTGCTGTTCGCCTGACCAGATAAATTCTACATTCTTTTTCCTTAACTTTGCAAACGGTTCCGTCAAGTCCATGTATTTTGGTAAATATTGCCTGTAGAAATTTACCAATCCCAAAAAAAGACTCCAATTCTTTTTTATTTGAAGGTGTAGCTACTTTTAATATTTTTTCTATCAATGCTTGGTCTGGTGATATACCTTCTTTTGAAATGTAATAACCTAAAAAAGATATTTTGTTAGAATTGCTTATGCACTTTTTTTCATTTATCGTCATTCCAGCATTTCTTAATCTATTCAAGACTAAATCAGTTTTTTCTTTTAATTCCTTTTCATTAGTAGCTCCTATGCATATGTCGTCTTGGTAACAAACCTTTCCTAAAACCTGTTCAATGGCCCTTTGAAATATGGCGCTTGCAGTTTTTATTCCATAAGGCATTCTTTTCCATCTTAGTAACCCTATTGGTGTATTTATCGTGGTTACTTCTTTGAAGTTTTTGTCTATTGGTATTTGGTGCTATGCCGTTTTTAAATCTATTTTTGAAAAAACAGACATCCCTGCCAGTGCATGTAATGCAAGTTCCACATTGGGTATGGGATATGAATCCGAGCATATCTTGTGATTTACTCCTATTTTATAATCTCCACAAATACGTAAATCACCATCTGTTTTCCTCAAAACCACAATCAGTGATGCCCACTTGCTACCTCCAGGCGGAACATGTTCTAGGTCTTGTTCTACTAATTTACGTAATTTTGTCACTACTAACGACAATAACTGTACTGGTAATTTTCGTGCCTCATAATAAGAGGGGGAAACATTTTCTTTTACTTTTAAACTTGCTTCATAGTTTTTTAACTTTCCAGTTTTTTCCATTTTTATTTCATTAATTATCTTAGTAGAATTCATATTAAGCACATCATTTCCAATAAGGCCATGGTTTTTCTTGCAACTTGTAACAATTACAGGAATTACTTCAAATTTTTCTTTTAACTCCAATGAACCTTCGAAGTATCCTAATATTTTTATAACGGACCCATCAAACTGGCGGATTTGTAAATTGCTTTTTCGTAAAGGTGGCTTACCAATGTGTTCCCCCAAATTTTTTGGTATCAGTGTTACTTCACTCCCAGTATCCATTTGCATATCTAAATTGCAGTTATTAATTTTAACCTTTACTATAATGTCGTTTTTCTTCTGTACAATAGTCTTATTTTTCACAGTAAAAACTTCTCTGTTGGTGTTGTTTTCTTCTACTCTTTCAACTTTTTTCTTTTTTAATTTACACACTACTTGAAAGTGGTTCTTTTTTAAACAATTATTACAAGTTTTCCCAAATGCTGGACACTTTTCCTTTTACATTTCGTGTTCACGTTCACAATATGAACACTTTTTTTATCTTGTTTAACGCGTATGTATCCATGAATCTTTGTTCGGTGGGTTGACTTTTATAATGGTGGTATGTCTGTATTAGCTCTTGTTGCTGCATAAATTCAATACAAGCATTTAAAGACATCTTTCCTATTTGTAACTGTTCCAATATTTTATATCGGTGTGACGCATTGGACATACCTTCAATTAGTCTTAATTGAATCAAGTCCTCTTCAATGGTTTGTTTGTCTTGTCCGAGTTTCTCAAATTCACAATATCTACTTGCATTTCGTAGATGGTGTAGATATTTTATAATTGGTTCGTCAATTTCCTGTTTCATCGACATGAATTTCGTTCTTTCTGCCACTACCAGCCTTTTCTTGGGTCTCATATTTTTTTTTAATAATCTGACTTATTTTTTCGAAAGTCAGGTCTTCCAAATTTAAGGAATATGCCATGGTGGAGACTTTCATTACTGCCTCGCATCCAGCTGTAGCCAAAAATAAATCCGTGATTTCATTTTCGCCTCCCTTTTCCTTGTTGTCTTTCAACTTTTTTGTTCTCACGGTGGCAGAGAAGCAACGAATCCAAGTATCAACAAATTCTGGATCCTTCAGAGACAATTGAAATCCTATCGGCGACGCCAAAACCAACATTGACTAAGATTAGTTTCCACATGAGTGCAGGAATATTGTGTTGTGCAAGTTTTCCAAGTGTAAAGGCTGGTCTACCTTGAAAATCCACATTCAAAAATCTAGTTTTTACCAAGGCTTGAACACCAGATACTTGCACAAGAAAGAAATACACAATTTTCTGCTCTAGCAAGAAGACCCGACAGATATGGCTCTTAGATATTTTGTATGCCTAGTTTCCTATGAAGACTGTATTGATCTTTCATGCTTTCAATATTGACATTTTAATTTGACCATTGAATGGGATTATATTTCTTATTTAAACATTATTTTAGTAGACACCCTGTTTTTTTTTTAAATATTGTGAATTATGTTTACAGGTCGGAACATTTGAGAGACTTAAAAAGGAATATATATATATATATATATATATATGAATGAGAATATATGCAACCAACTTAGCTACCAAGCAATCTACTGTTTAAAATTCTTGAGTAGATTATCATCAATAAGCTTAGAAAATTATGACATGGATTTAGTGGATGGGTGGCAAGGCAATGAAGAAGAAAAAAAAAAGGTTTTGACTTACTTGAAAGGGTGGGTAGCAATTGCAGGAATTGGTTTCCCATGATCTCTGAGAATCAACTAAAGAGAAATCAGAAAACACAAGATGAAGAGAAATAATAACATCAGTTGATAATGTGTTATGAGGCGTTTTTGTTAAGTCCCCTCCAAATGGTCATTTTGAAGCCCAAAAGCTGCCTAAAAAGTTGAGAAGAAAAAAAAAAAAAAATAACAGCTAGGTGGGTTTCTTGAACAACTTGATATATTTGCCAAAATAAAGTACAATATTTGAGTTGTACTTTTTTTTAGATGCTTTAAAAAAATGTAGACAATTCCGTTTTTCCTGAAATTGCTCATGATGTCAGCACTCAGTTGACCCATGCCATAACAGCTGTTTATGTGAGAATGGTGATATTAGCTTTGGTTTGGTGGATTTTACAACATATCAACACTTGTTTAGTTACTTAATGTCAAAATAGGTTTTTTATTATACTTGTGTCTATAGATAAACAATGGTCAATTTAATACTTGGGTCTATATGTAAAAATTGGTTGGATTTATAATTGAGTCTGGTTGGGCTTATACTTGAGTCTTTAAGAAAATATTGGTCAATTTAGTACTTGTGACTATATATAAATATTGGTTGCATTTATAATTGAGTTTGGTCGGAATTATACTTGAATCTGTAAGTAGACATAAGTCAATTTAGTACTTGTAACTATACATAAACATTGGTCAGTTTAATATGTGGGTCTATATATAAATTTTGGTTGGATTTATAAATCAGTCTAGTTGGGTATATACTTGATTCTATAGGTCAGTGGCCCTCAACCTATTTTGAACCCTTTTCACCATATATCAGAATGTCATCCTTCCTACTTTCCAAGATTGTCTTACTCAAAAGGTACATTTCAAATAATATACATACATTACTGAAAATCTTCATTTTTGTTCCATATTAGTATGTATACATTTACATGGATTATTTTATAGACAAGTTTTATAAATTTATTAGCAATAGAAATATTGATGGATTTTAAAACTTGAATACATGTACATTAATTTGTTTTAATTCATAACTAATTATTAAATAAATAAACTGAAGCAGACTTCAATAAACAAAAAGCTCAATAAAAAGTCAGGGTATTTAAATTGATTTCATTCTGATGGAGTTTCCAGTCAATGAGAAACTATAAAAGTACCCTCCCTGAAATGCCCCTGAGGGGAATTACCTCTGGGTTGAGAGCCCCTGTTACAGGTAAACAGTGATTGTATTTAAAATTGAGTCTATAGGTAAACAGTGGTTGGGATAATACTTGAGTCTCTAAGTATCTACCCAGTAGGTAACCCATTTAGGGGGTTATATGACCCCTCTTCAGGGGATGTAGTTGGCATATTCTAGTCCCCACTGATAGGACAATGTAATATTAAATAATGTAAGATACTTGCTCAATTTATTAAGGAAAAATAAGAGACAGTTTAAAAAATGTTTGACAAATTTCCAAGCTTGCTATATGCATAATATAATCTCTTTTAGATGAATTCCAGCCTTTGGTACCATTAGTGGAGGTTCATTTCCCTTGCCTTCTGTTGCATTCCATGCTGTTTTAAAGTATCCACTTTTCATCAGCAGTCAGAATTTGCTTTTTTCACTTATATGGTATAGTGTTGATTATTCGCAATTATTTCAATACCCATCCAAGGAACATTGTGGGAGATTGTACTTTTTGAGGGAGGGCTGAAAAGTTAATAGGCTGACTATGAAAGAGTAGTGCTAGAACTGTGAAATCTTACATGCATTAATTTCAACTCTTCCTATTAATAAATGCATTGTTTCTTTTCAGATAAACTAACATCTGATTTGGTCAAAAAAGTCAACAACAGCATATACATCATTATCACTGCGATACTAGTTCCCAGCCAAGTGTTTTTTTTATGTCGAGGAACGGATGATAGTCAAATCAGGAGAATAGGGAGAGTGTTTGACCAGTTCAAAGATTCAGTCACACAAGCAGCCACTGTAAGCAAGGACTTGTGTACTGCAGCATTGTCCTGATAAAACAAAACCCCTTTCATCTGTTCTTTTACTGGGTGTATTGTCTTGATAGCATTTTGTCTTTTTGTCTCTGGCTCAAAGTGATGAACCCAGCCATCATCCTGGGTTAGGAAACATTTGAGGAAACCAGCTGGATTTGCTTCAAACAATGTCAGAAGTGATCAGTCTGATGCACTTTTGATCAGATGTCAGAAGCATGTGGCACCTACTGAGCAAAAACCTATGTCATACCAAGTTCATTGTGCAGAATATTCTCAACTCTCTCACGGAAAATGCTAATAGCATTGGCTATTTGATTTATAGTCAGTCACCAGTCATCCATCAACACCATGTGGACATGATCAATGTTCTTCTCAGTGGTGGCAGTTGCAGGATGTCTAGACTTTGGGTCATCTTCAAGACTCTCCTTTCCTCTCCTGAACTCAGCCACCCACTTTTGCACTGTTGATAAATCTGGAGCATCATCCGCTAATGTAGCAACCATGTCAGCATGAATGTCCTTGGGGGCTGCTACCTCAAAGCAAGAGATCCCAGTCAGCCCTGCTATTTAACCCATAGTTAGGAAAGGAAACAATGGATTCATGCCTCTGTACTGCAACACAGTTGTGTGTCTAAGACAAGATAGCCTGACAGAATCCATCTTTCATCAGGATGAATTTTGAATTCAGAGTTTTGCTTCACCCTGACTGGTTGCCATCTCAAGGCAAGAGAGCGCAATCAGCCCTTATATTTAACCTATAGTTGGGAGGGGAACAGGTCAATTCATAACTTTCCCAAGTGTATATATACAAAAGTGAACATCACCGAGTGCAGACTTACCTGTACATCCATATACAAATTTTTATGTACCTTGAATAAAGCACACTTAGCTGTCAAAGTTGAAATGGTGAAGTTGGGAAAAGAAATACTCTCATCAGCCGAAGTGAAACTTTTCATAGATAAGCTTTGGTTCCTGGGGCTGAAAAAGAAAAATGCTATTGGCAATGGTATGATTAGATGTTTTCTTATAAGGAAACATTCAGCATTCATTGACTGAGCAGTATTATTGACAATTGTATAAAATCCTTGTTTTCAGGGAAATAGGTTTCTTTAGCCCATTAACTGTTATTGCTCTTTCTAGTATTGGTGGAGGGTTTCCTACTGGTTTATGGAACTGACTCCCAAGAGGATGCTTCCCTAATCACTACAATCTTAACCTGTTCAAGTCTAAGGTTAATCGTTATCTTCTCCACATATCTGCATAAACTGTGCCTCTTACTCTGTAACCCTCTATCTCGAGTGGCTCTCAGGCCTTGTGCAACGTGAATATTATTGTAAAAAATAATAAAAAAAAACTTTTGTTTAAGGTCTGGAAAGTAAATGATCTTAGGACATGCCTTCAACTAAATATATTTTGAATGCAATCATGTGTGCCTTTAACTACAGATAAAATGTATTGTTGGTAATTCTACTAATAAATGTATCACTAGTCAATTTTGCATAAAATTGTATTGCTGATCATTTTACTATAAATATGTATTGCTGATCATTTTACTATAAATATGTATTGCTGATAATTTTTTACATAAATATGTAATTTTTTAAATAAACATGTAATTTTTTTTATATAAAAATGTATTTTTATACTTTTATAGAGTTTTGTTTCTGTTTGAGGGTTCACTATTTACTCATAGCTGGGACCCTAGAAAGTCTATTGTGACAGGCTATCATTTCCAACGTGTGTGATTCATGCAGAGAAAAGGTATCACAAGCAATCAGTCTTAGAATGTGAGTTGCTCACTAGAAAGTTAGTTTGGTCTGATTTTGTTTAGAAGCATAATATGTTATTTGATGCTGAAATCTAAATATTTTAAACACAACTGTGCACCTTCAAATTCTATTAAAAAATGTACTGCTGGTCATTTTGCTATAAATATGCATTGTTTGTAATTTAAATATGAAAATGTATTTTTATACTCTCATAATGTTTTTTTTTTTGTTTGGGGGGTTCACTATTTACCCACAGCTGGGACCCTACAAGAAGGCAACCCTCAAATAAAAAGAGGAAGAAGAATAAAAGACTGAACTTGGCCAATCAGAAAAAAATTGATACAAAGAAACTTTTTGATGTTTGAATCAAATTGTCAAGCCTATTGAAAAGTATATAAAAACCTGACACCTCTTGGCCAGAACCAGAGGGGGTTACCAGCAGATAGAGGAGATCAGAACAATACCAAGAGAGGATGGAACAAAAGAATACAGCCATGCGTGACATGTGAAGAAGCAGTTAAGAGGTCATCGGCTACTGACATTTCCACCCTGTTTCTTGGCTGAAAAGAACACAGTAAATTGACACTGACATAATTTCTGAGATTACTACTACCCCTACCAGGGTCTTATTTCAAACTACTGAAAAGGATTTATCTTCAGACTGCTATCAATATCTGCTTTATTAACAAACATTTTGCTACGCTGAATACCAAAGGACTAACTTAACACTCTAAAGAAAATAAATAAAAAATATTATTTATTTTAACCCTTGAGTAAGTCTGTTTTATTCCCAAAGTTTCCGATAAAATAATTATCCTACTATCTATTCACATGTCACATACTTATGCCTCTCTTTCCCGAGGGCATTAACGGTTTGCAGAGTTCTTAATTCCATAGATTTATTTCCAACCAAGGTTAGAGATGCCGGTCTGCTTGGCTATTTTAACCATGGGAAAGAATTAGATTCATGCCTTTCCCAGGGACATTTCATCTGGTTTTGAATTCAGTGTTAACCTGCTTGTTGATTAGTTGCCAACCAAGTCTAGAGGCCCAAGTTTGCCCTGCTATTTCAACCAGGGGAAGAAAAGAGAAATTCATGTCATCCCCAGGGGTGAAATTTGAATTTCCATTTACTGTACAGTTAACTGTTCCCACTTTTAACCACTTCCCCATCTGATGTTTTGTAATAAGAAATGTACAAAGCATACTTACAATTCATCCTTTGGAAAAGAAAAGGAAAGGCTTTTGATTGGACCCAAATTCAACTGATTGAAACTGAAAGAGAAAAAAAACATGGCTATGAATCATGTTCATCCTACTCCCTGTCCACTGCCAGTCATCTTGAATAGAGCCATATCATTGGTATGCCTGACAGAAGAAAGAATAGGTTAGCAAGTATATAGGAAATTCACTCTGACATAATTACTTTAACCTACCATGGCTGCTACACTAGAAATTGTCAAATAAATAAGTCATAAACGCAGCTATTAGGGTTTGTTTAATCTGTCAATTATAAGTCTTCTGCCTTCTGCTCAGCTCTTGATATACAGCAAGGGCCCCAATTCACAAATGCAGCAGGAGGAGTCATTCAGTTTTGGTAATCTGGTCTAGTGCTCCTGCTTTACATCTCACAATTCTTGACAAAATCAAAAAAAAAGAGAGTCTGTAATCCTGAACGGGCATCTCAACGATGTGATGTGAATTACTTTGTTACTGATGTGATTTGGCTTTCTCTTTGTCTTTTCTACAAATATTTTCATGGCAACTGCTCTGATAGTTTTTTTTTCTCCTGGTGCCTCAACTCCATAAATTGAAGTATACTACTAGATTGGCAACTAGGTCTCACCATTTTACTGTTAAACTTGCTAGATGCAGCCACCATTTCTAAAATTTAAATGCAACATCAACTGCCATCTTCTGTCTTCTTCAACCCTGTTCCTTTATTGTCTTTTCCTCAATCCTCTCCACTAAAGTCTTCTCATTTTCTTTCACTCCCTCCTGCATCCTTGTTGCATTATCACCTTGCTTGGGATGAAATGATTAAAAAAATAATTCACATAGTTCACAGACAAGATCCCACATGTTTCGGCAACTCTACCACAGGCCGAGTAATCATTTTACCATAGAATTCAGGAGTCAACCTCATGTCAAGTGGTTTGATTGATTGATTCATTTTCTACAGCTTATCAACCATTTGCAGATTCTTTAAAACCAGAGAATATTTTTAGATTGTAAATATTTTTTTTGAGATTATAATGGTCGAGTGATACAAGTCTTAATAATTAATCCATAGCTGGGGGAGAAGAGGTGGATTCATATCTTTCCCAAGCATATAAGTGAATATAATGACCCCAATGAGAATTTGGATTCAGCTCTTCATTAACAATTCTGAGTCATCATCCGCTACTCATCTTGAAGATCCAAGCTTAGAGCACGTGGTATTCTTAAGTGGTGACCCATCTAGGTACTGACCAGAGCTCGCTGTTGCTTAACCTTGTTTATTGTACGGGAACTGGTGTTTGAACATGATGTGGCCCTAACCCTGTCAAACAGTTTATCTGCCATCTTGAGAAGATTTTACCAAAATAGTTTGTGGGAGAAAATAGAAATAATAAATAAAAAAATCTGGGGTCATAATTCCAAGGATCATAAATGAGTTTCACATGTCCAATGTCAAAAATGCCAGCGCTTTAAATCCAAAGGGGCAAAAAATCTGTATCCAAATCTTGCAATAGATAGCAAAGGGAACACAAATCTTTTTCAAGGTAAGACTTTGCTTTAACCTTTTGTCACCAGAGAAACACAACTTGTTTTTAGTCTCCTGACAGATGAAGACTTCTTTCTGCTTTTAATGTATCTAAAAGAGTGGGACAACCAATAATTTGGGTGGAAATTCTTTCTTGGCTTGATATCAACATGCACAAAAGAAAAAAAGAAAACAAACACATATACACACACACACAAAAGTTCAAGAGAGGTGTGGGGTTAGTTGTCATGATAGAGGAGTAGTAGTGTGTCTAAAAAAATTATTTATAAACTTCATTCATAAAATTAATTATAAATTTGTTTTATAAAGTCTACTTTTCAGCCTCTTTATACGACTTTATATATATATATATATATATATTTTTTTTAAGTTCCCTTACTTTCTCTTTTCACTTCCTTCTTTTTCTTTTGCTCTCTTTGTCTCTTTTCTCTATCTCCTTTTGATGATACACTATCTACTTTACCAGTATAAATAGGTCAATAGGTTTGGTCCCTACAACTTCACACATATCACCTTTAACAGACTCATATTTCTTTCCCCCTCTCTGTGCTTTCCCTTCCCTTCCCAGCCTTGAATGCATATCCCTCTTCTTCTCCTCCATTTTTTCCCTCCCTCCATTTTGTATATATACACCCTTTTTTTTTTCCTTCCCCCATTTTTGAATTGACATAAATTATCTAGATAAATTTTTTATGCTTGGTTAAATTTGTATCCATTTATTTTTATGAAAATGTTTGATCTGATGAGTTTAAATCGTAGTATCAGTTTTAATGAAATAAAATATTACCATGAGCTTTTAAAGTTTCCATTTTCATAATAATCATATATATATATGTACACACACACACACACACATATATATATATATATAGGGATCAAATAAAGATCAAATATGGATCAGAATCTAACAGATTGATAAAGAACAAATAGGAAACATTTATCTATATGTTTCACTTTTATTATTATTTGATGGAGATTTAAACTGAAAATTGACTCTGAAAGCTTGCGGTCATTTGTAAATGTATTGAAGATTAAATACTCACCAGTGTAAAAGTGTCATTCTTTGGTCAAAGAAGCTCACATTTCCAGACATATCACCAACAACAATATTTCTTAAATTCGAAAAAAACAAAAAGAAAAGAATAATGAGAAGAAAATAACTCTGGAGTCAAAAATATTTCATTTAAAGTGAAAACACATGATGTTGATTTTTCACACATTTCAACCAAAGATTCTTTAACCTTCTTCAGGAATATAATTTCTAAACATACAATGCGGCCCACTCTCAGTTTTACATTGATCAAACAATGAAACCCTATATTGTTCCTATATTGTGTCTCTATTCTCAGTCCTGTCAGTAGGTATGAAAGCTGGAAAAGGTCTGCTGCACACTCACAAGGAAATGAAAGGTGAAAACAAACACCTTGGCTAGAAATGAGGGCTTGAACCCTGTTTCCCAGCACCAAATGCAAGGGTCTCACATCTCACCAAATCTATGATATAGGACTTTCCACTCTACTACATTTCAATTTTTCTGAGGTAGTATTCATATAAAACACAAACTTTATTGTAATCTAATTATCTATAATAATGGCTCATATGCAATATAGGTGAACAATTAAACTAGAAAAATTGAAAATAAATCCAATGTATCTAAATACAAATTAGAGACATGTCATAAGAGATCATTCCATCTTAAATAAATTTAAATAAATTTAAATAACTCAACAATGCTTAGTGGAAATTTTTAATATGAACTTGAGATTTTTCTTGTTAAAAAGTTGAAGAATTTTAACACATTCAACATTATGGATAAAAAAAAATATAGTGAATTTTATATCGTGTTTTTTGTTTTCCAAGACTTATGAGCAAATGTATTCAGGATTTCATCACAGTCAAGGGGTCGAACACAATCATTTTCAAGGGAAATTATTGTTAACCTGGATAACCTTTCATTTCTCATTGTTGATCGCAGATAAGTTTTAGTTTGCTTCTCCAGAATCCATGATACGGGCTCCCACTTTACTACATATCAATTTTCAGAAGGTAGTATTTATATAAAACACAAATTGTATTCTACAATAAATGGATGCAAAATAGGTGAACAATTCAACGAGAAAAATTAGAAATAAATCCAATGTATCTAAATACAAATTAGATACATGCCATAATAGATCATTCCATCTTGAATAAATCAACAATGTTTTGTGGCAATTTTTAACTGTTGATAGAAAAAAGCAAATGTTGATAAGATAATGAGGGTTTTAAAGGATTACCCAGGACCCCCAATCAGGCCTGCCATCCTCTAAGTTGGGAGGTCCGGGAGTAGTATATACTATATAATATATATCATTGATTATTTCAAGGATTCTTTTGCACAGTCTGGATAGGTATGTTGGTAGCACTTGGGGACAACTGCCATTTCTGACATCTCAGACTAACAGATCAGCTTTTCTCCTTAATCAACAAGTACTCAGACTTTATTCCACCAACTCTCTGCCCATTTCTAGACCATGACACTTGGTTGCTAACTCTCTCGCTCGCTTTCTCTCTCTATCTCTCTCTCGAGCATGCACCTGGTAAAGGGAAGCCTGGTTCTATTTCCTTCCCAACTGTGACTGTTTAATCTTCAACATTGCCGGCCATGAAACATGAAACATTTAAGACTGAGACAAAATTACTCACTATCCTTTTCTACATCTGTGTCCCAGTCATAGTGTCACAAGTACTCGCATAATATACAAAGCTTTTTGAAGAAGGTGTTCATGGAAAAATATAAAAAAAACATATTCCTCTTTTAGTTTTGCATCTGTACCTTAAGCCATTTTTTTTTTATCTTTCATGGTTTCAGGAAATAGCTTGTAAAATACATTGGGCTCTTTGCTTTCCTTTGGATGGAATAGATTCTAACAGCAAAAGACAATCTCCACACCAATATTCAGGATTTCATCAAAGGAAGAAAATTTGTTCTTACGTTTCTTGAAGGGTTAAAACAGATATTCCAGATGGAACAAGTTTAATGATTTTGGAAGCCTTTTTATTTGCTATCGTCCTCTTCTTTCCTGTAGAAAGAGAAAAAATACAACATATCAAGTGGGGGGAACAGTTTAGGAGTTAAATAATTACAAATCTGAACTCAGTAAGAATTCCTTAGATTCGTCAGACAACATCAAGTGGTGGGAGAGAATCAATTCAAGATCTAAATGATAATAAATATGAACTTTATCAGTCACAAAATATTTTTATACTACTTATAATACAAGGCCAGTCACTCAAGTTAGAGGGTTACTGAATGGACGTGTTATAAAGGGATGAAGTAAAAAGTGCTTGTGTCTATATTTCTGAGATGAAGTGTTATGTACACTATTTACATTATTCGAACTATTGTCCTCATCTTTGTCGTCATATTTATTACAACGTTTCGGCCTTTCAGTATCTGTCTATATTTCTGAGATGAGGTATTATGTACACTATTTACATTATTCGGACTATTGTCCTCATCTTTGTTGCCATATTTATCACAACGTTTGGCCGTAGTACACTCCGGCCTTCTTCAGATGGTTGGAATGTCAAACTGAACCCTTTATTTCGCTCACTGGGGTAGTCATTGTCATTTCGGCCCAGTGGATAAAGGTGTTGGTTAGATCGAGTGACTAGATCCAAAGAGTTGTGAGTTCAATACCAAGCTACAGCAGTGGTGAACCAAAAAACTTGGAGAGTTGAGTTAAAGGGAAATGAGACATTTAGAAGAGGCATGGCACATGGAACTAGAACAATCTACCCCAATGGATGAAATAAAGGTTTTGTTTTGAAATTCCAATCACCTGAAGAAGGCAGAAGCATACAATGGCCAAAGTGTTGTGAATATGGCAATAATGTAAATAAAGTAAGTCCAAACACATATTTAAAAAAAATTTAATTTTAAAAGTCTGAAAAAAATTCTGTATCCTTTGTCTTTCATGTGCATGATTAGTAAAGGATGAAACACATGAAAAAAAATTTTCCACTTTGTAATTAATTTTGTAAGACTATTTACTTCTCAATTGATTATATCTAAAATACTCTAAAACAAATGCTTTATTAAAAATTCTCTATTTTATTTTATAGAATACATGCGATCTCACAAAATAAAACCATCATTTTTTGTTGGATTCCCAGCCACTCTGGTTTTCATGGAAATGAAAAAGCTGATTAATTTTCATAGACACAGAGAGAGAGAGAGAGAGAGAATCTTGAATATGTGATTAAAAAAACTCTCCGAAACTTAACACAAGTAACATAAAGGTTCCATACACTGACTATAATCCCCTAATAAATGATTTTATTTTGAAGAAATGGCAAGACGCTTGGAACAACTGTCAAAACAACAAATTATTTAAAATCAAACCCTCTCTAAAGAAACAACTAACTGAACACAGAAAATCACGCAAAGAAGAAGAGGTTTTATCCCGTATTCGGATAGGACACATGCACAAAACTCACTCCTTCCTCCTAAAAGACGAAGATCCTCCTGAATGCATAAACATGCCAAAAGGCTTATACTGTGAAGCACTTCCTGCTCGATTGTGGTGACTTGGCACATATTCGAAAATTATTTTACAACGTGAACAACTTGAAAGAACTTTTTGAAAAATCAAACCCCAATTTGATCTTGACCTTTCTTAGGAAAGTTGGGCTATATGATAAAATATAATTCCAATTTGGTGTCTGATGATGAAAGGGGAAACTTTGATACTTGCCAGGTGAGAAATTTTCAAAGAACAACGCACCTCTGAAAACAGTGGATTTTAAAGATAAAAAAAAAAAGGAAAAAAAGCAAGACAACACCGAAAAAGAAGGAAAGGAAAGGGAAAGTTTTCTTGAAAGCATTTCAACCTTATTTTAAAAAAAAACCAAAAAAAAAACCTAAAAACAACTGTTTGACCTTAAATGACCTCTTGCTGATCGATGAGTCATTAAGTTTTAAACAAACAAACAAACTATTTTATTTTGTTACTCTGAAGTTGCTTGATGTTTGTTTGTGATCCATACCTTCCATCATTGATCTGTGAGTATCCCAGACAACCAGGTTGCCAACTGATGTACCTGTTAAAGCGTGTATTGTATCAGCGATAATTAATGACTGGCTGTACTTTCCAATTTGGATATGGAAATCTTGATCGGTCAAAGGAGGAGCAAAATACTTTAAGGTATCGTCTTTCTGAAAAAGAAAATAAAAGTACAACAATCCAATTTGAAATTTCTCTCAAAGTACCAAACAAGTGACATCTAAAAGAATACAGATTCTTGTAAAAGCATTTTGATCATACAAATACACATCAAAGCCAAAGATACTCTGAGAATTAATCATTTTCTTTCATTTTATAATTGACAAGACAGTTCAAGTTCTTTTAACAATCCCTCAAATGCTGATTTTATAGGAACTTGGAAGACTCGTGTCATGCAACCTTTTTATATAATGGTCATGTAGTGCCAAACAAGGTTTTTCAAGTAGATCCTCATCATTTTTAATCCCATCTCTAAGGTTCTTATTCTGAACATAGTTTTATGGCACATTGACTGCTATATAATGGTCATGTAGTGCCAAACAAGGATTTTCAAGTAGATTCTCATAGTCTTTAATCCCATCTTCAAGGTTCTGGTTCTGATTATTCTTTTATGGCACACTGACTCCTATATATTGGTCATCATGTACAATAATAAAACTAGTAACAAAATGTATAATAAAATAGAAAAAGGTTCATGTAAAAAAATATCTAAATAAATAAATTAATCACATATTCAAGATTCTCTCTCTCTCTCTCTCTCTCTGTGTGTCTATGAAAATTAATTTTTGCTTGAATGGGTGCTGAAAAGTCCTCAGCCTGACCAAAAAGGTTTTTAAAATAATTCAGGTGTCTGGTCAGTTCTTGTGTGAATCGTATCAGGCTGAGAACTTTTCTGTATATCTTTATAATGTCCATATTTTAATAAGGATTCATACAAAAATAAGGTTTGCTTACAAGGCTTGGCCGAGATGAAAGTGAAGTCTTGTATTCATAGTAGCATACATTATTCACTTTGGCTATCCATTTTAAAATCTTATTTCATATTTTGCTCAGGCCCAAAGATTCCAAACAAATTACATTGAAGCCATATTCTAAGAATAATTCCAATTTGGAAAACCATACAGACCCATTGATAAAAGATGACTTGATTCTCGCTATTGGTAACAATGTAGCTCAAGTTCTCTTCGCAAAAAAAGATGTAATTCTGAAAAAAAAGAAAGAAGATGAAATGAAGTTATTTTGCTTTAGAATTGCATAAAGAAGAAAATGGTAGTTTATCTCATCAAATGAAATGCCCATGTTGCATAGCATAAAAAGGAGGAGGTCTGTGTTAGGCCCCCCCCCTGTAACTCTTTACTATCCTTCTTTGCTTCCACTTGGCTATCCATTGACACAAATAAGTTATGATTTTTTTTTTTATTTCATTGTAAGTAAAAGAATAAAGCCAGTAAGATTCAAGGAGTTACCAAATGTTAAAGAATATGAAAAAAAGAAAAGCATTATTAACAATAGAAAAAAAATATAAGAACAGAAATTAAGGAAACAGAAGATAATCATTGACATTGCATTTAAATTTTTGAAAATCAAAGTTGACTGGGAGATAAGAAGCCCAGAAGAGAGTTCCACAAGCAAGAAGTATGAGAGAAGAAACTGTTCGCATAAAACTTACATTTACATCTATTCATTTCGACTGTAAAGGAATGAGACCTATCTGCCAATTTAGTAATGTGCTTAAATTCATAAAGTCTAGATACTGTAGAGGAAAGATCATCAGAACAATTACCATGAAAATATTTATAGAAAAGGCACAGGAAAGTTACATTAAAGTAGTGGGAAAGTAACTGAAGCCAAGATGCTTCTTTGGATTTTATCAAGAATCTCTAAATATATAGCAGGACCATACGTGGCAGCAAAATTCAAAGCATGGATGAATGGTAGACCCATTAAGGTTTAAGATAGATCCAAGTAAGAAAAATTGTTTTAGTATGATTGAAGCTGAGATGCCAGGTCAGGACCAATAACATAGCAGATTCTTCTTTGGATTTTATCAAGAATCTCTAAATATATAGCAGAAGAAGCAAACTAGATGTGGCAGCAACATTCATAGCATGGATAATTGGTAGACTTATAAATATTTAAGGTAAGATTCTGGTGAGAAAGATTGTCTAGTACAAAAAAAGCTTCAGAGATATATTATTATTATTATTATTATTATTCTATCATAATTGAGCTTGTCACTCTCTTTGTTAGTTTGCATGCCAATACCTCATAAATAATGGACTCTTCCATTTTGATTGCATGGAAAGACTTATCAGAGATGCTACTTGTTTTCAGTGAAAGAAAGATAGAATCGTTTAATGTTTCCTGATAATACTGCATAAATATTTTGTTTTGATCATGTGAGAAGACTAAAACACATCAAAGACACTACTTGGTTTCAGTGAGAAATAGGTAGAAAGAAGAGAAGATAGAATTGCTTAACATCTGTTTCAGTGAAATGGAAGAAATTGTCAATTTTAGATTTTTTTTCATTTGTACCCTCTTACTTCTTAAAATAATGACCGGCACTCATATTTATGATTGTTATTGCAATATTTTGTTAAAGTTGTTAAGCTCAAATATTTAACGATATAATAAGGGAATTTCTATGGATATTTTATTGTTGTAGAATTTGTTATAAGTTTACTCAATCATTAAGTTAAGAATTATGATTCATCAGAAAATTCAAACAGGCAAATTGTGCCCACCCTTCATTAGTTTGCATGACCATTACCCTTTGCCATTACTATTGAATTCAGGTGATGACACAGTAAAAATGTATTTTGGTATTGTGGTCTTATATACTGCATCTTAAGATTGAAACAGATCTCTATATATTTCCAATCGAGCAAGAAATTTACTTTTAACTTTGCAAGATTTTCCTATTTAAAGTATCAATATCTTTTAGAGCCATGTATAAACAACTTCTCTAAGGTATGTACAGACGTTCATATTTAAATGCATTTGAAAAATGCAAAGAAGTAACTGTTGACATGACTGACTAATGTGGTATTTCTTTGCTATTTTATAGCTTATGTTTTTTTATTTCACCACTTCAGGTTTTTATCAAATCTATCTCTATTTATAAAAGGCAGGATGTGTGTGTGTGTGTGTGTGTAACAAATGCACGGCTGCAATTTTCGACGGATTTGCATCAAAATTTACATGCACATGCTCCAAGTTAGCGGGAAGGCCAACTCCCATCGATAGTGGAAATAATCGATTTTTCATGCTTCTACGGCAGTTTTCATGTGGTTTGCGGCCATTTTGTACTGGCCAGAGTGAGAGCTTATAGCTGGCTGCCATGAATAGGCAGGAAAATTCTATTGGCCAGTGTGAGAGCCAACAGCTGACTGACACGAATGTTAACTAGCATGCTAGCATGCAAAAAAAAAAAAAAATCGATAGCTGCATTTGTCACAAATGGGAAAAATTTAAATCTGCATGGTACTTTACTCCAATTGGCTCATTCACTTGCTTAAACTCAACGTTGATTCTGATTCTGCAGAACTGGGTTGGGTGTGAAAAAGTATTTGTTGTTAACATTCTTTTTTCATTCGGTTTCTCCAGTTACGAGTTCTTTTTTAAAGCTGATCGTTTTGTGTTTATTTTGTTTAGTTCTTTTTTCGTAACAGATTTAATGTTTAGTATAGAGCTTAGAAAAAATTCACAGTGTGAGATAGGCAAGAAGTAAGGCATGTAGCAACATCAGCACGGCAAATGGCACTCCTTTAAAGGCAAGGAAGAGCAAAAATATTTTAAGTCAAGTGATAGCGATTGCTGTATGAGTCGTACGATTTTTGAATCAAGCACAGTCAACGCTGGGCCATGCTGCTAGTCTTCTAATAAATGTAGTCTTTTAAATAGACAAACATTTTAGGTTTGAAATTTGATCACTTCACTATCAGTGAAGTGATGGGTACCAAACTAGTTCATTATAAAAAAGGGAAAGTTTCACCAAAGGAGAGAACAGCAAAATATGCATTGGTATTGAGAATTAAATAAATTTTGCAGAATTCATGAGTTGTTGCATCAGTGGGAAGAGAAAATTATTTGTCCAATTTGATCTGGAGAAATGTGTTAATCACTGTTTTTGATAGTTCTAGAACAGTTGTGTACTGGACATTCGTGTCCCAGACAATTGCACCTCTGGACATGTGCATCCCTAGACAAATGCGTCAGCGGACATTTGTGTCGCTAGACAGATGTGTCCCTTGATAATTGCACACCTCCGATAATTTTTTGAAGCTTTTAAAAGCAATTACCATACATTTTGAAAAAAGCAGAAGTAGTAATCATAAATTTTTAACAAAGGAATAAAATAAAAAAAAAAAAAAAGTTTATTTTATTCAAAATACAATGACAGATTAACAGTGTTGCAAGAACACTCTACACATCGCCAATATGTTTTTGTTTCATCAGAGTTTTTCTTATGATAGTGGTAGCTTAATTTTCCTCATCCACAAATATTTTTCCACCAGGGTTTGATTTTTGGAACTTAGCCATCGGTTCCAAATAAAAATATAATCTATAAAATCCAGAATCTATTAGATGTTTGTGGTACACCCTGCTGGAGTGAACTGAAACTGCTAACTTAATTTTTTTCTTGCTTTAAAAAAGAAAGTTTTTTCTCTTTTTTTATTTATGGTAACTACCTTTCTGCTTGTTTAGAATAATTAAAGGTATTGGTGAGCAAATTTCTATATTAAACAGCTCTTTAAAAAAAATGGTAACTTCAAAAAATTATCAGATGTATGCATTTGTCAAGGACACATTTGTCTAGGGATGCAAATGTCCAGTGACACAATTGTCCAGGACACAAATGTCCAGTATGCAACTCTGTCCATCCACTGTTATTGACAGAGCAAGAATTCAGGTTCATTGGTTAGTGAAACAGGAAAGTACTGATCAACTTAACATTTGATGGTCAGAGAACTTTGCTAGACTGATCAGACAGTTACTACACTTAAAGTAATATAAAAATTGTTACATTCCATGGAGTTAGGAGACCTCATAACTATTAATTTCAATGGAAAACAGTAAAGCCATGGAATTTCCACTAGTACCACTAGTGAAAGACTATATGTCACAATTATCAAGAGAATTTTAGTTTTTGTGAGGAAAATTTTGAATTCTAACAGCCTTGACCTTTCTAGCTTTGTTCTCAAATGTAATAATCAATTTGAGAAAAAGAGAAGTGAAGAAAAGAATGCAGGGTGTGGCTTGCTTACCTGTCCACTAAACTGTGAGTTCAAAATTACAGAAGCCAACGGTTTATCTTCAGAAACAGTCCAATCCCAAATAGAAAATTCCTGAAAGAGCAAAAAATATGAATCCTACACTCAGGTACATTGATATCTATAGGAGACATGCAATTCCAAATATACACCTTTTTCACATGAAAAACATTTTAGAGCACCTATCAGGAAAAAGTAAACATCATAAGTTTCATTGGTATTAGACTGACCACATATGGGTTGGGGTAAAATTAGAATTGTCTATTGTTTTGGTGACAAATTCAGAATATGATGGACTTATTGAAGGCAGTTAGTCCTAAGTTGGGATTGAGAATAGGTTTTGAAAAAACAAAAATCCAAAAGAGTGGGAACTTAGGTGATGATGGCATTATCCGTAGAAAGATACCACATTGAGGAAGTTGATAACTTCACTTACGTTGGAATATACTGAGCGGTACAAGGAACTGAAGACCATGTTTGATTCTGGTAACTCCTGTGATGACACCAGAGCCAATATATACTGGCCTCTTGAACAACCTTGGTGGTGTGGAGTGAAGGGTTGTGCTGAATGGGGAACCGTTGATCTCTCATAGAACCCTGCCCAGGCATGCACCTTGGAGAGGACACTTCAGCATCACCTTACTGTGATAGCAAAAACATGGGAAGTAACATGGACACAGGGCATTGAGAGGTGGGAAGACTTGCCAATGATCGCTCACACTGAGGATGTGACTTACACCGCTGGAGTGAGGAGAAATGGGGGCTTGCCACTGCTTGATGGAAAGAAAACATAGCAACATCAGGGAAAGTGTCAGCACATGCATTCATTGCAATTGAGACCATCACACCAATGTGGACCTGTACAGACATAACAGATGCTGCACTGCCATCAGCAGCTGAAGCATATCTCTTTGGGTGCAGATACATGGTCTCTTGAGATGGATGCCATATATTCGACAAGAAACTGACCCTTTTTCCTATATTTTTAGGAATGGATTATATAAATGAGTTCCAGTTGAGGTCTGGAGTGAGCTTGTGTCCCAATAGACATTCATAGTAAGTAGCCTCAGTGATGATGAAATGTTACTAGCTTTGTTTTTGAGGTACTGACAGTTACAAGCCAATAAAGCTGGTAGAGTTTAGGTCAGAGGAGCAAATCTACTGCTACGCTCTGTTCACCTAGATTTTTGGACGTGCGCCCATAAACTGTTGTATCATCTGCACAGATATCTACTTAATGAACTGAGAATATTCCTGGACAGATAGTTAATATAAAGCAAAAAAGAGTAGGCTTGAGAAGAGAGCATTGGGGGGGTCTGCATTGATCTCATCGCTTTCAGAGGTCAAAGAATGACCTTCATGGATCTACTTGATAGGAAGGGCAATTTCATTTAAAGGTCATAATTTTTTCTTACTTCAGATAACAAATTGCAAATTTTACAACATATTTCAGAATATGAAAGTGTCAGTTTAAACTGATGCCAGGAGGATATGCATCAAAAAGTTTCCTTTTTCCACGTATTATTACCATTTTGTTTAAAGTTTTTTTTTGTGATATCAGATAATTAACTGCAAATTTTACAATATATTTTAGTCGCACAAGTGGTGAGTATGGAGCATTATTTTTTGGATGCTCCATGGCCTTGTGCCACATCTAAGCTATACTTCATAAATTGTTATATATAGATACAGAGTCTGCCAAAAAATGCATATACACTTCAAGAAAGAGAAAACTTGTCTTTTGTAACTTTATCAAATTGTGATAACACTTTTTACTGTCATATTTTGTTGATAGATGGCATTACCCCCATGGTTGTAACATCAACAAGTCCTAAAGGATGTTGTGTATTGCAGAAACTACATTGGCAGCCCTTACACAAGAAATTGAAAATACATGTGCAGCAATGCCACTGGACACTTTGGCCATGTTGCCCAAGCAGGACTTTGCCGCACTAATAAATGTCTGGAAGCTAAAGATCATTTTGAACATCTCTTGTGATTGTCAAGTCCATAGGTAAACTGTATTAATCTTGTGATGTCTGAATAAATTTAGTATTAAAATATCTATAAATTTTTGACTTTCCTGAAGTGTGTATACATTTTTTTGGCAGACTCTGTATATATATATAAGGTAGTAAAGCCACTAAGACATAAGTGATTACTGGGTGTGAGAAAGTTACAAAACAGAAAACAATATGAAGCAAGAAGAATAGAAGAGTAATGAAGAGAACAGTAAATAACAATTGACATCACGTTTAAAATTTTGAAAATCAAACTTGTCTGGAAAGCAAGAAATTGGAAGAGAGTTCAATAAGCGAAAAAAGAAATTGTTAGCATAGAACTTACAGTTACACTTAGGCAATTCAGCTGTAAACTAATGGGACTTTGTTGTTAATCTAAAATATGTTTCTATTTAAAATAACCCATAAAGTGTTGATAAGCTATAAAAAAAATCTATTAATGTACGTGTTTTGCTTCTTTTTTTTTTTTTTAATCATTTCAGTCCAAGCAAGGTGACAATGCCACTAGAATGTTGCAGGGAGTGAAAGTGAATGAGAAGCTTAAAAATGGGGAGGATTGAGGAAAGGGCAAAAAAGGAACAGGACTCAAGAAAACAGAAGATAGCGATTGATGTTACACTTAAATTTTTGAAGATTGTAGTTATCAGGGAAGCAAGAAATCAGGAAGGTCCGATAGGTGTGAATTATGAGAAAAAAAACTGTTAGAGTAGAAATGATAGTTATATCTAGCTAGTTCAACAGTGAAATGGTGAGACCTAGTCGCTAATTTAGTACCACGTTTAAATTCATGTAGTCAGGACACCAAGAAAAAAAGCTTGTCCAAGCAGTTACCATGAAAATATCTGTAGAACATGCAGCAGGGAGAAGCCATGTCCCGTTGGTGAGAGAGTGACTGGAGATGAGATGCCTGGTCAGGACCAATTGTATTGCAGATCCTTCCCTGGATGTTGTCAAGAATCTCAAGATGCACAGCAGGAGCACCAGACCAAATATGGCAACTGTTGTAATGGAATGTCCCACACTTCCTATCACCTATGTGGACTGATTATATCAGTAGCTATATATAGTGAGCACTGGATATACCAGGGGGATTGCTTTGGGAATTACTAATCTGCCACCTGATTCCCTGTCTTTCAGTAGTGTATTCTCTTTTACAATAAACTTCTCTTTTTCATCTACGTGCATGTTGCTGTTCCTTCACTCGAGTACCACCCTTGTCTGTTTGTAACCTCTTTAAGGACACAACAGCAACAGTATTTAATACACTGACGAATGGTAGATTTATAAATGTACAAGATGGATTCTGACGAGAAAATCTTTTGGCACGATACAGTGAATCAACCTTTCTTGCAGCAGATATAGCAATTGACACAATATAGTCGCTCCATTTCATGTCAGTGGAAAACATGTGTTCAAGTAGGTGTAGGGTGCTGCACTCCCAGGGTGCAGCATTAGGCATTCTGATGGTAGGCAGGAAAGATTCTCTGTTGTGGTTAAATGAAAATGTTTTAAATTAAGTGTTTTAAAATTAAATGTTTTGGAGGCATTGAAATTTACAAGCCATTTCTTGCCCCAGTTAACCACTGATTGGAGGTTCTTTTCAAGAGTAGTTGCCAGGTTTACTTTGTTGGATCTGTCGGTTTTGCTACTAAGACAGTAGTAAACTGTAGTGTCATGTTGGGAACTGATGACATCAGGGAGATCAATGATGAAGATCAGAAACAGTGTACATTCACATATAGAACCCTGGGGAGCTACCATGTTAGTGTAAAATGAACTGGAAGTGTGCCTGTTCAATACAACCTTCATTACTCAATTGATTAGGAACAATTAGATTAAGCTAAATATATGTCCCATGATACTGTAACCTTTGGGTTGGCATGGGAATCCAACATGCCAAACCTTGTTGAATGCTTTCAAGATATCTAGAGCCACTGCTTGTGCTTTCCTATTCTTATCTAAAGCTTGATAGATAACTTCATAGATTGCCGTTAACCCATCTGCAGTAGAGTTGGCGAAATGAAGCTATATTGTTTGTCTGAAAGGAGGTTGTGCGAAACAAGATGTTTAACCTGTTTGCTAATGAAAATAGGTAAGATCGTAATAGTGTGATAATTTGAGGGGTCAGAGGTTTCCCCAGAGTTCTTAAAAACAGAAACTACAGAGGAAGACTTCTAACAAGCTTGGGAATGAATATAGCTCAAACATGGATCCAAATCGGACAGAATGATAAGATAAAGAACAAATAAAAAACAATAGGAAACTTCAAAAAATCCTTCTGTATTTCCATTATGAGGAAAAAGTAGTCTATCTTGAGTACACTTTTTACGATCACACCCATCTTTTGGGGAGGATTAGCCACCACTCATCCTTATATGAATTTTTTTTTTTAAATGCTTTCTTGTCCTCAAAACTGTGTTACCAAGAATTGTGATGACTGCATCACTACACATTCGGAATAGAAAGAGATGGTTGCATTTTAAGCGTCAAAAATGAAACTGCTCTCTTTCAATCATCTGAGAGAGAAACTTTTTTACCTTCCATCAACATGGCCAATACTAACCACCAGGAGAGTGACTCATTGTGCCTTCTTGGACTAATGTTTTCAGCTGACATGAAGTAGAAAGAGATATATTGATGGTTGTATTTTAAGCATAAAAAATGAAACTGCTCTCTTTCAATCATCTGAGAGAGAAATTTTTTTTACCTTCCATGGCCAATGCTAACCACCAGGAGAGTAACTCATTGTGCCTTCTTCATGGACTAATCTTCTCAGCTGACATGAAATGGAAAGATTATAATAAATCAATTTCTAAGTCTGCAACTAAGAAAGTTGGTTTAATATGTCGTGCTGGACAATTTTTCTCACCAGAATTTATCTTACATATTTATAAGTCTACCATTTGTCCTTGCTTTTAATATTGATTTCACATCTAGTTTGGTGATCCTGCTATACATTTAGAGATACTTGATAAAATCCAAAGAAGACTCTACAATGTTATTGGTCTCGACTTCAGTTCATTTTCCACCACTGTAATGTAGTTTACCTGTACCTTTTTATTAAATACTTTCATGGTAATTGTTTTGACAAACATTCCACTATGGTACGTAGACTTTATGAATTTAAGTGCAGTACTAGATTGGTGGCAAGCTATCATCATTTTACATGGCTAGATGCAACTGTAAGTTCTATGCTAACAATTTCTTTTATTGCACTTCTTGCTTGTGGAACTTTCTTCTGGATTCTTGGTTTCCAATCAACTTTGATCTTCAAAAAATTTAAATGCAATATTAATCGTTATCTTCCATCTTCTTAATTCTTGTCCTTTTATTGTCCACTCTCTGCAATATTTTTTCTCATATTCTCTAACATTTAATTACTCCTTGCATCTTAGTGGCTTTATTGCCCTGCTTGAGGTAAAAAAGAAAAGAAGACCAACCCCCATGCCAAGAAATCTAAACAAAGAAAATAAGTCTTTTAGTGAAGAAAAACTAACCTGCTTGTCTCCAGCAGACATTGTGGCAAGATATTTGGCATCTGGAGACAGAGCAACGGCCTGCATGCCATGTGGACTGACATCAAATAAAGTCCGTATTGGGAAACTGAAATATAAAAAGAAAAAAATAAAAGACTCCAAAAAATATTTTTCTTCACTTCTTATAGCAAAATTAACATTGGTAAAATATTGTGTTTTTTTTTACAGTGATTTTTACCCTGTACAAGGCCCGGGAGGCACTCGAGGTAGAGGGTTACAGAGTAAGAGGCACAGTTTATGCAGATAGGTGGGGAAGATAATGGTTAACCCTAGACTTGAACATATTAAGATCAGTACAATCTTAATCATCCTCTTGAGCAGTGACTCATGGAGAAAAGTTGCTTGGGTCGAACTTACATTTCACCAATGGAATACGGAGGGAATGAGGGTGATTCGCCACAATGCATGTGGCATGGCAGGTCCTAGCTGTGAAGGTTAGAATTGAAATTAAGGAATGTAGTTCATCAGAGCACTAAGAAGCTTTTGACACCTTGTCTTGTGGGAGAGAGGATGCAGGGTGGAAAATAGTTTGTCACCCACAAGGACACAGTGATGCTTTTAAACTCTATTGAGACTAGAAAGTGGGAATATGGCAGCAATATTCCATTTTAAGCCTGATCTGGCTATTCTGAAGGTACGATAGCATGAGAAGTTTTTGTTTATTTTAATCATCTCATCCTATGGAAGGCAGTAGAGCCACTAAAACACAAGGGGTTACTGAGTGTGAAAGACAAAAAGAAAAGCATTATTAAGGAGTGAGGACAATAGAAGAACAATCAAGAGGACAGTAGATAACGATTGATATTGCATTGAAATTTTTGAAGATCAAAATTGGCTGGAAAGCATGGAGCCAAAAGAGAATTCCACAAGCGATAAGTGCGAGAAAAGAAACCATTAGCCTATAACTTACAATTACATCTAGCCAATTCAACTGTGAATTTATGAGACATTGTTGCCAATCTAGTACTGTGCTTAAATTCATAAAATCTAGGTACCATAGTGAAAAGTTCATCTGAACAATTACTTTGAAGTTATTTATAGAAAAGATAGGGAAGCAATTTTATGGTGGTGGGGAAGTGACTGAAGCTGAGACGCCAGGTCAGGATCAATAATATTGCTGATCCTTTTTTGGATTTTATCAAGAATTTCTAAATATATAGCAGAATCACTGGACTATGTATGGCAGCAATATTCGAGGTAGGAACGAATGGTAGACATATAGATATGTAAGATAGATTTTGGAGAGGAAAATTGTCTAGCACGACAACTTTCTTTTCAGCAAACCTAGCAATGGATTCAATATAATCTTTCCACTTCATGTCAACCAAGAATGTAAGCTCGAAAAGGTGCAATGAGTCACTCTCATGGAGGTTAGCATCAGCCATGCTGATATAAAGCAAGATGGATATTTTTGTTTTTGTTTTTTTCGTGTGAGCAAATGAACAAAAAATAAATTCCAAAAGAGGTAATTTGAAATAAGAAAAACTTTTCTATTGTTTAACATGAATGATTTGAAACAAAGAATCTTTTCCCCTTGCTCAACCCATACAATTTGAAACAAGGAAAACCTTTCTGTTGTTTAACATGAGAAATAAAGAAACTTTGTGCTTTGTCGAAACCATACAATTTGAAATGAGGAAATCGTGTCCATTATTCAACCGAGGAAATTTCAAAGACGGAAGCATTTTCTCTTTTCTGACCCATACAATTTGAAATAAGGAAACCTTATCCCTTTTTCTAATGCACCCAATATGAAATAAGGAAGTTTTATTCATTGTTTAACACACATCATTTGAAATAGAAAACCCTTGTATAACTCATACAAATTGAAAGACAAAGCTTTGTTTGTTTTCTGAACTGTGAAATTTAAAATGAGGAAAATTTTTCCAAACATTCCAAAGAAGGGTCTGTAATGTTATCAGTGCTGATCTGGCATCTCAGTTTCAATCACTTTCCCACTGCCGTAATATAGCTTCTCCGTGTCTTTCCTATATTTTGATGGCAGTTGTTCTGATGAGCTCTCCTTCTTGGTACCTTGACTGCATGAATTTCAGCGCATGACTAGATTGGCAAGTAGGTCCCATCATTTTACTTTTCAAATAGCTAGATGTCACTGTAAGTTCTATTCTAATAGTTTCATTTCTCACAATTTTTGTTTGTGGACCTCTCTTCTGTCTTCTGGCTTTCCTGTCAACTATAATCTTTAAAAGTAAAATCAATTGCAATTGTCTGTCTTTCTTTATCCTGTTCTTTTATTGTCTTCTCACTAATGTTTCTTCATCTTCTTTTACTCTCAGTGACATTATTGCCTTGCTTGGGGAGAAATGATTATAAAAAATAAAAAACTTCCAGAAACTAAGCAAATTATTAAGAAACAAGAAAATTTTGTTGGAAACAAAAAACAGAATGCTTGTCTGTGATGCAACATCAATCCGTTATAAGTCAGTGAACGTTAGTGATTTCCCAAGAGGCAGACGTGAGACAACAGAAATATAGTTCTACAGAAGGATGCTGAGAATACCATGGACTGAACATGTGAGCAATGACAAAATTTTAGGGAAAATGAGAAACACTGCTTAGTGCTGAAAGGATAGGAGAGTTATGGAGAGCCACAATCACCCATGAAGAGGAATAGTATATAAAAGAAGACTCTTCAGCTTTTTAAATTGCTACAGAAATATGATTTCTCACACATCCTTATGAGATGAATAAATTTTTTTTCTTCCTTTTAAGTCAATTTAATGACCAGAATTTTTCAGGAATCTTGTTTCCAGCCTACCTTTGAATCGTCAAATATAAAGTTTTGTTAGTGTTTTTAGATAGCAATAAAATTAAGGTCATTTGAAAAATTGACCACACAAAACCTATCTGAGTGGTCACCCTTTCCAGTTGGAAGAACATGAGTGATGGCGGATATGCCAGCCTGTATCCATAGAATGAGGCAGTCAGTGAAACGGCCAGTCAGTGAGTTTGTACAGTTCTGTTTTAGGTGGCTGGAAATTAGCGAGACGTTGGAAAGAAGAAGTTTACTTTCTTGTAGCAGAAGTAACATATTGGTGACTAGCAGTAGAGCCCGGCGTTGCCCAGGGATGTAACAGTAAGAGATAGATCAAGTATCGACCATCATAAAGACTGAAAAATAAAATTGACAAAGATTATTGTTTAAGGTTGACACACACGTCTTAATTAGTTTTTTTTTTGTTTTTTTTTTTTACGAATTGGTCAAACCCAAACTGAAACAAAAACATTGTTTTCAATCGTTATGAGTCTACCGATTGAATAGAATTTTATTATAAACAATTGTCTTGTAAATGGAATTTTTAAAGCATTCTGAATGTAAAAATAAAGAAAAAAGTGTGCAAGACAATAAGAAACACTACCTGCCAAAAAAAAAGTTTTGTTGAAATAGGTTAAAAAATGTAGGGAATCCGATCCCATATATAAATGAACACACACACACACACACACACACACACAAACAACCTGGGTTTTATAATAAGTATAACTCGATATGAGTTGTCCCCCTTTCATTCTGGCGACAGAATCGTGTTTTATCGTGTGTTCAAATTGATTTTGTGCAAAAACAATTGTGTTTTTCCAATTTTTGGCACTGTCAGAACCACCGCAAGGTAATTTTACGTAGTCCTGTAAAGTTTTGTTGAAATCAGTTGAAAAATGTAGGAAATCCGATCCAATATATAAATGTACAGACACACACACACACATACACAATCTGTGTTTTATAATAAGTAAGATTAAGTGAGAAATGGTATTTTTTTGCTACTTCCCAACCCGACAAGTATCTTGAAAACATTCATTGTTATTTCATTATTGAAATCTGTGGAACATATCGAGTACCAGTGTATTCCCACAGAGCTGACCTTGGATGTCATCACAGCTTGTGCAGTAACATGCAGCATTGTATCATCACATTGCAAAACAAGTTTTAAGCTGCCAGAAAATTAAATAAAAATGGTACTCAAATGGTACTCACTTTAATAAAAAAAAAAGAATATCAAGATGAGTCTTAGGGAATAAAAAAAAATCTTAATTTTTTTCACCATAAATGTTTATATAAGGGCGAACATATTTTTTAGTTGGAGGGAGGATTCTGTTGTAACATGAGGGGATGTGCAATGGCCAGCAACTTGCAATGATAAATCGGACAGCTGTAGAGTTTTAGGTAGAACACCTAGCCTAGTGAGCAGATAACCAAAGTGTGTTAGTGCCCTTGGTACCGTTAGCAGATAACCAAGGTGAATTAGTGCCCTTGGTACAGTTAAGGAAGTAGTCCAGACCGGAGAAAGAGTTGGAACAAGACATGCCATGACCAATGTCCAGACTGACATCAATGGGGGACAAAAGATATTCCTAAATCGTAACCTATGACCTCACCTTAACTTAAAGTTAGTAATCTTTTAGAGTACAGTCATTGCATATTGGAAGTACTATTTTTATGTCATGTTTTATTGTCTTTTTGCATTTTTACTATTAATAAAATGCTAAACTATTTTGGCACCCTTATTTTCATTTCCTTTTGTAACTCGTCTCTATATGTCGGGAGATTCTTGAGGTAGGGAGCCATTATAAAATAACAATCCAACAGGGCCAAGGTTTCGTTACATTTACTTACATGCAAATAACCTTCAGAAAGTTATGATTCCATCTTTCCCCCATTTATGGGTTAAATAATAGGACTTGTATTTGGATAAATTATGGTTTTTCTCAAAAATTTGTTAATGCAATATTCACTCACAAAAAAAAGAATTATTCTTACAATCCAGAATATGTTTCAGCTTTAAATAACCCATAAGAGGTTGATAAACCATAAAAACAAAACAATCTCTTGTATTATGAATAATTAGGCAAAAGCATCAAAATGTTGTTTTGTCATTTGATGTGATCTCAATTACTAAAAGCAAAAAGAAAATAAAAACAGTTTACCATGTTCTGGTGTTCCATACAATTACTGTGCTGTCTTTTCCTTTGTCAGCTGTCACCAACCATTTCTTGTCTGGACTGAGAGACGTGCAATTGATTGAGTTGGCCTGTAAAATAAAAATAAAAAAAAGAATAGAAACACAAATGATTAATCAGAAATGGTCACAATTCTCAAGAAATGCATTTTCAAAGCAACAAATATCTTGAATTGAAGATGAGGTAATGCAAACAGCTATGTTTTTGTTGATTTGATATTTTTAAATCCTAACCCTTCTTCTTGGAAATGAATTCAATTTCTCAGAATTTAATATGAAATTTTGATGCATGACTTTTCTGATTGTCAGTCTGCAAATCTATAAAAAAGATTTTCAAAAAATGTCTGGAACATAGTAACACTAATGGTAACTCAATAGGCAGAATGGAAAACTTTGAGAAGGCTTCCAGAAGAAAACATCTTCTCTTTCCAAAGAGAGAGAGAGAGAGAGAGAAAGAGAGTCGGGCTTAGAGATACATTTACAGAACCACCTGGAAAAGTTTGCATATATTTTTTTAAAGGCGTTGCTTCTCTAAAACAATCAATCACTCTAAAACCTGTGATAGCATTTGCTTCTATTTTATAGACCCTAGTATCAACTATAACATTAATCCAATCTGAAAACACACATTTTGAGTTGTCCCTTCCCTAAAAAGAATCAAGTGGGGTGGTAGCACCTGTCAGGGTCCCAGCTATAGGCAAATAGTGAACTCCCAAACAAAAAAAAAAAACAATGAAAGTATAAAAGTACATTTTTATAGTAAAAATACCAGCAATACATTTTTATATAAAAATTTTTTACCACCAATACCTATTTATAGCGAAATGACCAATACATTTTAACAGTAGCTGAAAGCATAATTTGTTTTTTTTAAATCAGTACCACCCCATGCAAGGCAGTAATGCCACTAAAACGCAAGACGTTACAGGGTGTGTCTAAAATTTAGGAACAGAAACAATAATGATGAGCATGGGGAGAAGAGAATAATCAGTAGATGGCAGTTGACATTACATTTAAATTTTTTGCAGATTAAAGTTGGCTGGAAAGAATGAAGCTGGAAGGGATTTCCACAAGTGACAAGTGCAAGAGAAGAAGCTGTTAGCTGAGAATTTATGGCTACATCTAGCCAGCTCAACTATAAAATAATGAGATCTCGCTGCCAGTCTAACACTGCACATTGCATTCAAAATATTTAGTTGAAGCCATAAAATTGTTCAAAATATTTAGATTTTGGCATTAAATAATATATGGAGGTTGATATGCCACTATACAAAATCAACCAAACCAATGAAAAAGGATAAAGCAACTAAAAAATCTGCTTTGAGTCTTTCTTCTCTAGAAAAGACACTAGTATCAGTCATAACATTAATTCAATCGGAAAAACATACGTCTTCTAAAGTTGTCTTTTCTATAAAATGATCATGCAGCAAAACACTTTTTTTTAATCATTTCACTAAGATTCAAAATTATGAGAAAAATATGAACATTATTAAGGTGAAGGGACAATAAAAGAAGAGGAATTAAGAAGACAGAAGATAACGATTAACATTGCATTTCAATTTTTGAAGATCAAATTTGATTGGAAGCAAGAATCTTGAAGAGAGTTCCACAAGCAAGAAGTGTGATAGAAGAACCTATAAGCATAGGACTTATGGTTACATCTAGTCATTTCAACTGTAAGATGATAATACCTAGCTGCCAATCTAGTACTGTACTTAAATTTATAGTCGAGGTACTAAAGAGGAAAATTCATCAGAACAATTATCATGAAAATATTTATAGAAAAGGTACAGAGAAAGTGACTGAAACCAAGATGCCAGGTGAGGACAGAAAACATTGCAGATTCTTCTTTCAGTATCTGTCTATATTTCTGAGATAAGGTATTATGTACACTATTTAGATTATTCTGACTATTGTCCTCATCTTTGTTGCAATATTTATCACAGCATTTCAGCCGTTGTATGCGCTGGCCTTCTTCAGGTGGTTGGAATGTCAAACTGAACCCTTTATTTCCCACACTGGGGTGGACTGTTCTAGTTCCATGTGCCATGACTAAAGGTGTTAGTTAGATCCAGTGACAGGACCTAAAGAGTGTGAGTTCAAAACCTGGTTAAGGCAGTGGAGAACTTGGAGAGGGGAATTAACAGGAGATAACTGATATCCATTAAATATGGCATATGGAACTAGACAAAAAAAAATAATAGATGAATTGCACTAATAATGGGTTTAAGTTCTATGAGATTTTTCCCAGCCAATTAACATCAAACATATAATAAAGTGATTTTTGGATTTACAAGTGAAATGAAAAGGATAACTTACATATTTTCATCTTAGCAATTCTATTTTTTTTTAATAAAAAGTTTCATATAACCACTAAGTGTTTTAACAATGGGTTTTAAATTTAATTTTAAAAGGAAAATTTTGGCTCACAAAACCACATTCTTTGTGAAGTAGTTTTTTGCTTCAATCAGTGTTTTTCACTATCATGGAAACGATCACTCCTGCTGGTATTGGAACCTTCTTGAATTGAAGAATATTATACTCCAGCTCAAGTAGATTTCTTTCTGATTCATTCTGCATGCTGGCTGGGTGTGAATGCCATGAAGGCAGAGAATGAAATAACAAAAGTCATTTTCTGTGCATTAGTCTCCACATATCACAGCCAGTCTATGAAGTGAGCTCCGGTAGTGGCCAATCATGAATCTTCCTGCTGGGAAAGGAGATGCCCCTGGGAACTACCAGACACACTTAAAAGCAGGTTTCTGAGAATGACCAGAGCACCTGTGGTCCAGCGTGCTGCTGGTCGTCACACAGAGTACTGCTGCTGCTGCTGTGACCATCACTGCCATCACTCAACATGACCGCACTTCTCAATGTCTGTTACCACACCCAGGCTTGACTAACTGCCTCAACTATCCAGCCTCATGTTAACATCTTGACTTTGTCACCTCAGCAAACACCAGCCATAAGCATCCAGCTGTCCACCTTCAACACAACTCAGCTACAAGCCTTTGCCATCGATGACACTGTCACCTTGGCAAATACTGACATGATAACATCTCAACTTTGACACCATGTCACCTCAGGAAATATCTACCAGATAACATCTCAACTTTGACTCTTAATGTTCATATCCTACGCATCGGCAAAGTCAGATTCAGGACCTCTCCTGACTCCTAATACTCGCATTCTGCTCATCGGAAAAGTCAGATTCAGGACCTCTCCTGACTCCTAATACTCGCATTCTGGTCATCGGCCAAGTCAGATTCAGGATCTCTCCTGACTCCTAATGCTTGCACCCTGCTCATCGGCAAAGTCAGATACATGACCTTTCCCGAATCCTTATGCTCGCATCCTGCTCATCAGTAAAGTCAGATACATGACCTCTCCCGACTCCTAACGCTCACATCTTATGCATTGCCTAAGTAAGATTCATGTCTTCACTCGATCTCTAAATCTTGCATTCTACACATCAGCAAAGTCAGATTCATGACTTCTACCGATTCCTAATGCTCACAGCCTAGCATTGGCAAAGTCAGATTTGTGACTTTCCCCGACTTTTAATGCTTGCAAACACCACAGCAGGCTAATGACAGTCACGCAGGGTGCTGTTGCTAGTGCCTCCATGACTTTGTCACTGTAGAATAACAACAGAATAAACAGCACTTACCGGCATAAGGGTCCCAGCTAGCGTCCAGCTGGCAGACAAAAATAAAGCAGTTTGTAACTCAATACAAACCCTGCAAACTAACTGATAAATCAAGCTGGTATTTATACAGAAATACCTCCACTCATGTACCAGCAGCCAATCACAGCCCAAGCAATGGACTATCCCACTTTAGCACAATGAGATGCTCCATGGCACCATAAATAGCTCTCTTTCTCAAGGTTGAGTTATTATTCACTCAGCTTGCTCCACAACTGAGTGTTTATCTTAACCGCGTGATTGTTCTACAGTCACCATGACAACCACAGTGGAGAGCCACCGCCATCACCACCTCAATCATTCAACATGCACCAGCCATACCCTGTGACTTTACACCAAGCCCACACAAGAATTAGGTCAACTCCCAGCACAACCCCTTACGCCCAACCTCCATCCTGACAACCGGCCACTGAAACACACATTCCACTCATCTTCAACATCTCTGTATGACATACTAACAATAAATATTGTTTAAAATCTAGTCTTTGTTATTCCTTTCTCTTGCTACTAGATGCTTAATATAACAGGAATGAAGGGAAGAGGATGTTATTCTCCCTTCTGTTTAATGACACTCACCAAGGCCCATTGGCAGATACCAAAAAAATTACCAAAAGGTGCAAATTTGCTCTTTTATGAGAATCTCCAGGGTGTGGCTAAACTCAAACTAGTCAATTTGCATACACATGAGAAGATCCTATATGGGCAAAATAAACAGATCTTTTCTTTCCTTTTTCTCACTAGTATACAAAAAATCAACACAAAATTAGAAAATAATAAACATCTACAATAAAAAAATCATTAAACTAGCAAACAACATGTCTGCTAAAATTCTGACATGTGTATACATTATTTTTAATTTTAAAATAAAAAACAATGTATCTACAAAGTAAGTGTACATACGTAAATATAACAAAATGTTTATTATTTTAATTTCCAACATATAACATGTAAATTTCAGCCTGTAAATATCTATCCTTGTTAATACTATTGATAACTTATTTGAGGGTTTTCTAGTTTTATTATACAAAGTACAATATCATTTTTTTTTATATAGAAATCCATAAGACATATAGCTGATAGAATCATTTTTTCATTAACACACTAATATCTTATATAACAAAATGATTTTATTTTAAATGTTAATATGGATTCCTTGCTATTTTGTAACCTTCATCAGTTTTTCAAAAATGGATATCACATGTAAATCTAAGAGAATGCTCACCTATCATCAAGTTCATACTCCTCCTCAGTCTTTTGAACAGGAGTAGAGGTTTATCCCTTGTTTCCTGTTTAGGTCTTAGTCTACTGCAATTCTATACTTCTAAACTCTTCACATAAACTCTTAAATTTTATTTACTATTTATTT